GTCCAGAACCAATGCGCAATGAATTTCTACAATCAGAAAGAACCCTGTGCACATTTTCACCCCTTGTAATAGAAAACAAAACATATCTTTTCCTATTCACTAAAGTTAACCATTTTGATGATTTCTCATACCCAGATATATTTAAATCACTAAAATACACACGTGATCAAATAATGATGTCCTATCCTACGATAAACCAAATTAGCACATCGGACTTTAAAAACCCCTTTGACAGACACTCCTTTGTAAAAATTTACAATATGTTCAACTATCTATTCGATGGAACTAATATAGGAATACACATATACCATAACAATATTATATATCCCACATTGAGCGAAATACCAAAGATTCTTAAAGAAAATCATGATATTCCCGTCGCAGGACACCTCGGATCTATGAGGATGATAAGTCGTATTAAAGAAAGATACTATTGGAAAAACATGCGTAGTGACATTGAAAACTATATTAAAAATTGCACATCATGTCAAACAAATAAGGCACTACGAAAAATAAATAGAGCACCAATGATAATCACTTCCACTTCTACATCTGCATTTGAGAGAGTAGCCCTCGATATTGTAGGTCCTCTACCCGAGTCCGGCGCGGCCAAACTTAGATTTATCCTAACCATGCAAGATGACCTTACTAAATTTTCGTTAGCTTATCCGCTACGAAGTAATACTGCAGAAGAATCGTGTGAATGTCTACTTCATTTTATATCGCTATTCGGAATCCCGAAACATATACTCACCGATCAAGGTACTAATTTCACGGCCGAGTTATTTAAGAAAACATGTGAGTTCCTCAAAATAAAGCAGTTATGGTCCAGCCCCTATCATCCGCAAACTCAAGGCGCCTTAGAGAGATCGCACTCAACCCTTAAAGAATATCTAAGATCTTATACCAACGAGAACCAAGATAATTGGCCCCGATATGTCTATACAGCTATGTTAGCATACAATACCGCAATACATTCGACTACGCACTACTCACCATACGAATTAGTATTCGGACACAAATCCAATATCCCTGACTCTGTCTATAACGACACATCCACTACTACCTACCCCGAGTATGTAAAGATGTTGCAACATCGAATGAAACATACTCGTGATCGGGCTAAACAATTTATCATACAATCCAAAACGAACTCTAAAACTTATTATGACTCCCGTACTCGCCAGGTGACGTATAAAATCGGTGAATACGTTCTCCTAAAAAACCATCTCCGGTTACGTAAAGCCTTATCACCTGTGTGGAAAGGCCCTTACAAGATCATTAAAGTTCACAACAACCACACATTAACATTACTTATAAATAGACGACACGTGAAACACCACTTCGATGAAGTGAGACACGTGAACGTCCAAGAAGACGCTCAGGAAGAAGTCCAAACGGTAGACTAAAATTAAATTTACATTAATTCAGTAGTTAAATACGTTTCATTTATATTTCATTACATTTTTCCTTAATTATTATTATTATAAAGTAGGTATAAACATTAATAATATGAGAAACATAGCATAAAACTAAACCTATTCCAATATAAATATAATATCTATAGAATCATCTAGATGTCTCTTTTCGTTACAGCGTGCTTGCCCAAGGTCACGCAGAGTTCGTCCAACAAATCAACACGAGCTCAGGTATATACTTTGACCCAATTGGCGAACTCAAAATTCGCGTGAGCCACTTGGATATAGTGACACCATTAGACATCTCCTATATTGAACCTCACATCAAAAATATAAATTCGATACTAGGGACAATACGCCTTATCTGCAACCAAATTGCAATAGAAACCTCAAACAATTTAGAATGTTACAATATATTAGAACCACTTACAGTAAGGTATCGCGACATTACTTCCGAGTATTCCTCTATATCCCATTTAGTTAACAAAAGGTTCAAACGAGGGGCATGGATAGGAGGTATTGGCACTCTGTCTAAAACTATATTTGGGACCCTAGATGAGAACGACGCTGTCAAATATGACAACGCCATTCAAAATATTCAAGATAACGAAAAAAGGCCGAGTTCATTAATGAAAGAAAACATCTTAGTTACTTCTACTATTTTATCAAAAAATAATAACACGTTACACGAGATTAAAATTAATGAAGCCAGCCTTAACCTAGCTATCGACAATTTCTCTTCAAAATTGCAAAACATATCATTAATTTCTAACGAATTAAACATTAAATCAAAAATAAATTCAATCATGAACAGTTTAGAAGCATCCATACTCACCTTATCATTTCGGTTAGAAGACATAACTACTGCTGTCTTGTTGTGTAGTCAAAACATCCTGCACCCGATTATTATAACGCCCTCGCAATTATACCAAGAGATTGTCGATAACTATCGGTACTTACCTGTAGATATTAAGTTACCTGTAAGCTTAGCGTTAAGTAATATTCATAGTCTAATGAATATATCTAGTGTAGTATGTTATAGTTTAAATGACAGGATTGTTTTTGTTTTAAGAATACCTTTAGTATCCCCTAAGGAATACAGTTTGTACCATAGTATTGCACTACCGACCCCACATAGTAATGTAGACCCCCAATCTTTTAGTTTCATAATTCCTAGTAGTAAATACATAGCAATGACCAAGGATAAATCTGAATATTGTAACCTTGATTCACTAAAGGAATGCACACCGATAAGCCAGCGCGAGTATATCTGTGACGTATTGACCGTGTTCCCGACGAGTGCGAAATCGAGCTGTGAAAGTGAATTGTTGTCAAATGTGATAAGAGTTTTATGATGAGTGATGAGCCTCCTCTCAAATTACACAACATCGACCTTGACGTTTTTACATCAGAAGCAAAACTAAAATTAAAATCTTTGTCTGATGAAACAGATTCTATTCTAAATCAACACCAGATAATAAAATATGAGACTCATTACTCAATCTTAATTATTTTAAGTATTTGTATGATTTCTATTTTTTGTAGTGTTAAACTGTTTTTATACATTAAATCGCACAACCGTCTTTCCCATCACTTTTCTATATTTTCCAAACCAACTCCAGCCGACTCACCTCCAGAACCAACTCCAAATCCCGACACGGTAATCCCGTTAAAGATCACCAAGCATCTCCCGGAACCGGAAAACTTACCATCTCCTAGTATTAGGAGAAATGTGTAAACATACACTCTCCATCTCTTCTTGATTCCTCTTCTACCCTTTCTCTCTCCCTAAACATCGAAATTTCTACCCCGATGTTTAGTTTACCCCAGGGAGGTGTTAGAGATGCCTTATGTAAGCATTCCTGCACACCCCACACTTCTACTCTGCACACTCAGCATTTCTCCATCAATAGCCGAACGACCCGTCCACTCATGACCAGTCTCATCCCGACATCCAAGCCAGACGGTTGTCTCAACCCTATTTTAGTATTTTATTTCTTTTTAAAAAGACAAGTTCCCCGAGACTCGTAACAGTACGAAAGCTGCGAGGGCAGAATGGCTTAAATGCCGTAAAATAAATCTCAACTTACCAATAACATGATATACAACAATAGTGACACTTCACGTATATTTATAACCGAACATATCACACGCCAAATTAAACAATTATTTGTGGCCACAAAGACTAAATTAAAGAGTACTTATAAATATATATGGATACAGAATTCCAAAATATTCATTTAAAAAGATGATCACGATGAAAGTGATGTCGAAACCTATCTACAACAAGACAAAGAATAACTATAAATGTACTTAAAATTACAAGTATGTTTGTGTTATATTACTGGACTAACCACCTAACAGTATATCTCAATGGCGGGTCACCATATAAAAAAAAATCAACCGCTTGATATTGAATACATAAAATTCACCGAAATTAAGAAATGGTACAATTATATAAACACAACGGACACTAAACTACAAATTATCAGCATCGATATATGTTCCATTAGAAGGCACTTTAATCGATTAACAGTCTTGCAACAAAGTGCTTTGAGTGCGATAGATATACTGTGTCTCACAGAAGTTAATTACGAATGTATGCATAACTATATGCCACACTGTCGATGCTTAACTTTGGAGCGAGTCACCTCCTATAAATACCTAGGGCTAGTGGTGGATGACACATTGACATGGGACCTACATGTAACCGACGTTTGTAATAAACTTCGTTCCATCTTAGGCAAGTTAAAAAACTTACAATATGTTATCAGTAGAAAATTAATGTATACGTTGTATTATGCCTTGGCTGATGCAAGCATCGAGTACGGTTTGGGTGCATATGGACTCACATTTGATACACATTTGAATAGAATATACAATTTGCAGATAAGGTTGCTAAAATTACTTATTGATAGAAAAATAAAACAAGGCGTAAAGAACGTAAAAAAATTGTAAGTTACTTCCGGTCCACCTTAAACTCAAGTTAAACATTTTAGTTACACAATCTAACAACCAAGAGCACAAAATACAACGTGATATGTACCCAACCCATCTAGACAAAAAGAGGAAACTTGTCGTTCCGAAGATCACGAACTACTTCTGTAAACGAACAAGAAGGTATATGGTACTGTTTCTACTCAATGAATTGCCTTCAGATTTCGTAAAACAGGTACAGACAAAATTTCAATTTAAAAATAAACTCCACAAACATTATCTCTCCTTATGTCCATAACGAAAAGCTAATACCCGCATTACCCTTTTCATTACTTTTGAGACATAGTCTACGAGTACTAGTGTACGAGTACTTGACACTACTTAATTTGAAATGTTAACAAATTTTGTATTAAAACACCTACATTTATATTATTATGTATCCGTAAACGAGAACTTCTGCCGACAAACTGTTTTTACAGTTTGGCAGACTTTAAGCATGAAAATATGTATTATAAATGTTTTATAAAGAGGAAAAAAAAAGTAAGTATAGTATGTATCTTCAGTAAGTTTAGTATAACAAATATTGCTGTTAAGCTATGCTAAGTTTAGCATTACCCGTTGTTGTTGTTAGAAGCAATACTGTACCTGCAGCGCTCCAGATCGTTCAGTCATAGCTCCTCGGCAGAACGTTGTGACCAGTTGTGTGAGAGGATCCGGCTTGCCATCTTCTTCGACTACGTCACTCTTCTTTAACTCAGCGTCCTCAAAAGATTGCTGGGGAAGCAAAGTTTAAAACGATTTTATCCATTTCCGTTATTGTGTTTGTTGTAATTATGAATGTTGTTATCATATATTTCATATAGGGGGCAAACAACCATATGGGTCACCTCATAGTAAGTGATTAATATCGCCCATGCACAATAATTCAATCGTTACAAGTGAGTAGGAAACTCTGAGTATCCTCCCCACTAGAATCACAGAATTAGCATTGGCGAGGAGAGAGGCGAGGGGGACAGTGGCGCTCCTTCTGTAACCTGACCAACTCGGTTAAAGCGACAGAATAATTGTTTATAACACCGGTTGCCTGTGACTGTGGTCGAGCCGGCCCAATGTGCTCTAACTTGGTTCTTTACGGTGAAAACGTAAAACTATTTACTTAATCGAACTGACAATGAAATTTAAATATATATCGATGATCACACTATAATTATAATGCGGTCACTCGGTCGTATTGAATTAATTTATTAGCTTTTTTTTTTTTAGATTTATTTTATTGCTCACTGAGTGAATTCACAATAACAGCATTAAGAATTATTTCTTATAATAAATAAGTAGATGGTATAACACTATTGCATTTGGCTAAACCTGTAATAATAGTTGTTTTTAAAGGAAATAAATAAATAAATAAAATTTATTAGTAGGTAGGTACAGTTGTGTAGGGTAAGTCATGCTCAAAATTAAACCTCTAATAACAAAGTTGGATTTCTTAATACCTAATAATCGAATTCAGTAAACTTTAGAAGAAGTGGTATGAAAGCAGCGGGTGGAGTATAGTATTGTCATTTAAAATAACTCACCGTTAAATCTTCAATCATAACTTCTTGTCCAACATTTTCTTCTTCCAACCACAGCTCGTAGTAAGTACGGGCGAATATGTTACACGCTCTGTGTCTGTTGAACAGAAGTAATACAGCTCGGTTACAATATTCTGACAAGTGGAATTTGATCTTGTATACATCAAATTTAAAAAAGAAATAATGGTGGGTCAGATGTCAAATAAATATTATTATTATTACGTTATATGCAGCTACTGTGTAGCTGCTACTATGAGTAGTAAAACTAGAGAAATAACATTTTTGCTGATGTAAATACTTACATATTACACACGTTTACACACGAAAGGTACAAACTTTTACACAAACCAGGAATTAGTTCCTAATTTGTGTGCGTTGATTATGCGATTGACTTATTTATGATTGCCCTTGACGCAATACAAGACAAATATACTGCAAGTAACCAAACATCTTTAGTAACTTCTAAAAAACTGATACAACGATACCGAAAAGCTATATATTTTGGCTAGATCTTCCCACTCACCGACTAAGTCTATATAGATGAACAGACCGCAGACAAGCGATAGCAGCTCGCTTCCTAGCGGCACAAAGTATTCGTATCCAGTTGAATGTACGTTTTTTAGGCTTTGTCGCCTAATTAGTTCCAAAGCAGCATGCACAATTACACATAAAGCTATTATAAAAACGTTTAAAATAGCTATCTTTTTTATTCGTTATAATTAAAACAAAAGCAAAATACATATAACTGGTTATTCAAAAATTCACTTGTGTTATTCATATTAAAACTTTAATCAAAAACCTGCAAATAGCACCCGGTTCTTTAAGTTAACAACAAAGAAAATGTTATGCAAAAGAAAATGTTGTTTTAATGTGTGTTATTAATAATAATATTACCAATCGTTCGTCGTGGACGTTTACAAAGGGGCTTATTGTTACATATTAATTGTCTAAGTCGGTATTTACTACATAGTTTCATTTGCTTGCTCAAGAGAAAGCTCGGTGTGATCAGTTTGTTACACATGAAACTTGTCTAGAATGGCATCATTGGCTATAAAAATAGCTTTTTCTTTTGTAAAAACTTGTAAAAATTTAGGCTGTGGACACTTTAATCTTACTAATACTTAACTTTAAAATAAGTATAGCTATAGTTAAACCGCCGTAAGCTTGGCCCTCCTGATGGTTTGCGGGACGCGGGGCGGGTGATGCGCTCGGCTATACATGACACGATGTACTAACTCGATATCTTCAGATTTATTTGTTTGAGATTTAATCTACACACGATGTAATAAAAATCGAATTTATTTCCATGTATTATAATGTCAGTGTATTGTAAGTTTTTATGATTAATTGTAAAATTTAATACTGTAAAATAATTTTAATAAAATCACCTTATCTTCATCATGTAAATTATATTCAGATACAATTTAAAAATTAAGTAAAATAATAAATATTCTTTATTAGAACTTTAACAGTAGAACCTCTGTAAGCCGAACTTCAAGTTTTTAAATCTTTTTGTGACGCAGAGTCAGCAGATTATCCATGTTGCAAAATAATACCGTGTGTAGCAGTCTTAAGAAAAATGACACGTACAGCCATACCTTCACGTCAGTCAATGCCGGCGGACAGCGACGCACTAGCTAATTGGTTGAATGCACCCCCGCCCCGCGTCCCCCAAACCATCAGGAGGGCCAAGCTTACGGCGGTTTAACTATACCTTCGACTCTCTTGAATCATTACACAAATTGTATTCTGCATCTTTAAATTGTTCATCCTTAGAGACAGGATATTTTCTAAATACTAGTAGGATAAAATGCTGACTTGTTTCCTGAATCCAGAATATTTATATTTTATATCTTACAGGTGTGAATGTAAATCTGTCTATGTACTGAAACAGTCATGTTGCTGCGACCCACGTTTCGTTATTAAACGCGGCTTAAAACATTCTAATTATACCGTTTCACAAATTTGTGTTGATAGACACAAATAATACATAAGTAATATTTATAATAATATTTTCACACAGTGCACACACGGCCGTCTGATCCCAAACTAGGCAAGGCCTTTACTATGGTGACCAGACTGCTGATATACGTATATACTTCTAAATGCATCCATATTATAGATAAAGTATACCCAGACACAGAACAAATGACCGTGCTCACCACACAATTCTTTGTCATGGGTGGGAAAACTTCTGGCGTAGCAGTCATGGTCACTAACCACTAGACCAACAGGCCAGTATGTAGACCGGTATGTATAATAATAAGATGTTTAATGTATTTTACTCTAACAGAACTTCTAATTTAGTAGAATAATAAAAAATAACTTTCGTGTACAACTTGTTTATGAAAGCTCTGGTAGTTATAGCATAAAAAAACAAATATATTACATTGTTATTTTCTCAAATGCAGTTGTAAAAAAACATATATCACACACGGGAGGGTAGTTAAACATTCTTGCTTGAAAACTCACGACAGTAAAAAACAAATGTGTTATTTAGCCGTAATAGTAAAAGGCATGACAGGGGAATAGAACCTTGGTAAAGAATGTAGAGAAGTCTGTCTGAAGCAAGCGATGACTGCGCGCTTGCGTTGTATGGACACCACAGAGCGGTACACGTTCTTACTCATTTGTTGTGGATGGTCGATCTATTTAATGTTATTTATACGTAAATACATACTACATTAACAACCAAGATTACATGAGTAAGGACTTCCTGGTGACAGCCAGTTATACGTATGTGACGTTTAGTTCTGAAGCAATAGCTTATACTTTCTAATCCATCTACAAATAGTATGGCGATCCCTTTCTTTTCGTTTCTTTCGATACACTTAGAATTTCCAATCATAAAATGTCAGAAAATCTGTTTGGTTATGTTGGTATTGTCAGAAGATCAAATATCACTATATGAATCAATCAAAAATTAGTTACGTTTTCTTTTTATAAAAATTATAAATGTCTTAAGGAAAGAGGACATAAAATATTCTTGGGCAAAGAACGTCTTCATCTAACATCGTGGTGTTTTCAAGTTTTTTTTTCACCTAGTAATTAGAATCACCAGAGATTTACGTTGAGTTTGTGATGTATGAGATTCTTAAGATACCGACACCAGAATATTTACCATTAGGCGGATTTGATAAAAAAAAATCTTACCATATGCAATCCAAAAAGCACTTTACTCATAGCGACGATTCTCTCGACCGTATCATCAATAATCTTGGCTTTGTTCTCGGCTGTCTCCATGATGATGTTGGTCTTGGATTTGGAGCCAAGCTTGGAGTACAAGTAGTGTTGCCATGACATCTCGTCAGCTGGGTCTATCTTGTCTGGCAGCGTGAGCTGGGTCTTTGCAAATTCCGCCACGTCTTGTTCAGACATTTTCTGTAAAAAATAACCAGTAAATATATATGAAGACAAAGATAAAACAGCTAAAAACCATTTTTATACAGTGGCTATTCATAGGATCAGATTAAGTTTAAGTAATTTCTAATTTGGTGGAATGTTTCTTTATAAATACTTATTTGAAAGAATCTGTTATTCAAATCGTCCACTTATAGTTCTTTTTTACAAACGGTGAAAAAATTAAGAAGTAAGAGCGGCGTAAGAGTGGTTTTCGTGTCCGTGTGGTGACGGATTAAGAATACAGAGGGCCACTGTTCATCACGTGGGTGTCGTAAGAGCCGACTAAGGGAGCAAGCTATGCAGTACAACAGCACTGCAAAGAGAAGGAAAACTTCACAAGCCCTATACCAGCGTGGTATACTAGGCCAAAACCTCCTTTCTAATGAGAGGCATATGTAAAGCATTGGACTAGTAAAGACTGTTGATGATGATGAGTGTTTTTATCTATTCAAACGAGATGTACCAAACCATGTACGGCGTCGTCAGTATTGCTTACCTTAAGGAATCTATCTTTACAGTGCTGTACCAGCTCTTGTTCCCTGCCCGCGAAGAGATTCAGCCCGACTGGCAGCAGCCTCTTGAGACAGGCTACCATCAGCGACGCCTGGACTTCCTTGTCTTTGTCACGCTTCTTGTCGCGGTTTTTCTTCTTTTTCTATTTGTAGTATAGTAAGTATATTAAGTTTCAAAAATAAGTTCTCCAAAAAGTTTTTTTTATATTGTTGACTTCGTCGATAACTTTAGCCATGTGTAATTTTGTTTTTATGTTGAACAGTCGTCACAAAATAAAATTCTGTATAGCATATATTTCTGTAACATATTTATTTAGCACAGGTTTTAAAATGACGATATTAAATTAAAACAGAGATAGAATCGCAAGTATTTCAAGTATACTTTATTATTAATTTCTTAATTCAATTTTATTTCAGAAGCCCAAACTCAAAGCTTTAAAAGAGGAAAAAAAACCATATACCTTGCCGCCTCCCTGAGGAGTTCCATCACTCACTGCTGTGACTCTTCTTGTAGCCGTTGGCATAATCAAGACCTGGAATGAAAAATTAATCAGTTTATGTTTTATTTACGTTTGACAATTAGATATGGTACTCCATTTTTAATTACACGTAATACCGTACTTAGTAATATAATAGCTGATCAGGTAAATGTCTAGTTATAGGTAACGTGCTTAAAAATTACATAAAGTTGTAATTCATCAGGTTAGTTTTAGTTATGATTGCTAAAAGAAAAGGTTTTGATGAATGTCTCACCATGTTGTCAATCTCATTCGCCGAGATGAAGTTCTGTTCCTCCTTTAAGAAGTACTGACTCTTGGACCAAATGTTGAATATTTCAGATACGTGGTTGTATAGCTCTTCTGCCTCTGTGGACGATATTATTTTAATTTGATAGTTTATTAAGGGATATATTACCATGTGTATTTAGATCCCAACTAAGCATAGTTTGCACTGTAGGTTGAAAAAAAAAGTTCGTATCGGGAATCGAAATAGCATCCTCATTGCAGTTAAAGCTAAAAACTATAAAATCATAGGCACTCCTATGATTTTATAGTTTTGACACAAGCCCTATATCCTCTGGCCAGCGTGGTATACTAGGCCAAAACCTCCTTTCTAATAATAATAATAATTTATTTATTTGACCAATATAAATATTACAGTGTAGGACATTTCAGTTTAACATAGATCTTAGACAATAATTAGACTAACTTACACTAGCGTAAATCTATAGTACCTAGTGTTATTTTATGATTAGATTTCATAAAGATTTTGTTTAAAAACTTTAGTCGCTGCCTGCCTGAACTAGGGTAAACCTGTGTTTCAGGCGATCGCTTGACTTGGAATTTTTAAGGTAGAAATTTAAGATAAACATAACAGATCACTAGCAAATATAAAAAATACTACAAAGTGTACACGTACGAAAGCAAATAATAGAAAATAATATTATACAAAACTATTTAAGACTCATTTAACATGAGAGGCATATGTAAAGCATTGGACTAGTAAAGACTGTTGATAATGATGAGTGTTTTTATCTATTCAAAAAAATAATGTTCGTATCGGGAATCGAAATAGCATCCTCAGACGTTGCAGTTAAAACTAAAAATTATAAAATCATAGGAGTGTACTTAAGAACTGTAAAATTGTACAGTAACGTTTTAATTAGATTAAATACATATTTATGTATATATGTAGTAGTTTTAAAAAAATGCAGATGATAAATATGGTAAATATGGCAAAAAACATAAATTGTTTTTTTTTTCTTAAGAAGGGCAATGAGGTGACGATAGGCAGATCTAACTTTATCCGTAGCATACAAACCTGGTACATTGTTCCTGAGCCAGTGGTTCCTCTGCAAGTCCACGTACTTGATGAGCAGCGGGTAGAAGGAGTAAATATCACGAACCAATAGTTGCCAATCTTCTTGGATCTGAGACTCCACTTGTGAAGTGTCATCGGTTGAAGACTGGAATTGGAGTATTAAAAGAGACGTCAAAATCATACATGTTCAATTTTAAATAAGAAAGCAGTATAAGTAACAGTCCTCCCCCCTCCAACTGGAAAATACAATAAGAAGTATTATAACACGACTCCTGAGTTAAGACATGTATTTGTATTTATTATTTAATTTAATTAATGTCCGTGTGGTGACGGATTAAGAATACAAATTGTCACCACCCCAATTCATCCCGTGGGTGTCGTAAGAGCCGACTAAGGGAGCAAACTAAGCAGGACAACAGCACTGCAAAGAGAAGGAAAACTTGAAACAAACCCTATACCAACCCGTCTGGCCAGCGTGGTATAGTAGGCCAAAACCTCCTTTCTAAGGAGAGGCCTATGTCCAGCAGTGGACTAGTATAGGCTGTTGATGATGATTGATGATTTAATTTTTTATTTCACTCCTGAGTTGCAGACGTTCATGGGCGGCGATCCCATCCCATCAGGTGACCCGTCTGCTCGTCTGTCCCCTCTAACATTTTTTTTTTAAATTTAAACTTCTATTTCATTAGCTTTTTGAGATGACGTTTAGTTAAAGATACCTGAAGGTTATCTTGTATAAAATGGAGTACATCTAATTCAACGATATCGTATTTACATACGTGCGTGGGTACGTTATGTATCGATATTGAAATATACCCTATCTTTGCCCAGTGAATCAACTGCAAAAACCACTTTAAATACCCTTCTTAAACACTATGCCAGATCACACGATTAAAACCTCAGATACTTGTACAAAAAGTTAAAATATTTCAACATATATTATACATATAGGTATCTACTATTAGAGCCTTCTAATGAGCTTTTGGTAATAAAACTCTGATAGAAAGAACCGAACTTTAGCTGTTAATTAGATTATTAACTTACTTTAATAAAACCTCTTAAACTCTCTTCCTTATGGAACATGTTATCAGTCCTCTTCCTCACTCTCTCAGCCAGTGGCAAGAAGGAGTCCCTCAGTAGTTCCTCCGAGGAGTTGATGATGATTTGTTGGGTGTAAGTAGCGATGCGAGTCATCCAGGGCGCGTTCTCGTTACCGATGTTCTTCTTGATCAGTTTGAGAACATTCTTGAGCAGTTGGTTCATATGTTCTGCTGTTACCATTGTAACGTGGGTTCTAAAAACAATACCGCATAGTTTAAAAAAGAAAAATTCATTTTATGCACTTTTTGTTTAATGGTGTTTATTTGATAGTAAGATAACAACTGGAGTAATAAACACTAAAAGTGTTACTTGTTCATAACTTAACCTCCATTATCCCCCTCTACAGTAACCCTGGTGACTCCACCACAGAAATACAATCCTACGGTCACAGTGATTATGTACGAAAAATCTACTATCCTCGCCATCTTGAAAGTCATGTAAATTTTTGATCAAACATTTACTTACGTGATGATCGACAATATTCGGCCCTGACTCATATTACAGTGATTCAACGAATGACGCATTTACGAGTACTGTTGAAGGGGCAAATAGATTAAAAGCCTCTATCGGGCCCAAATCTCGACGGGCATCTCCGCAATACACACAGTAAGCAAATTTTTATACAACACACGGAAGTTCTTTTTTAGTATAACTTACCCGCCAGTAGGTGTGACATTGTCAGGCCCCTGAGCCCACCAGAAAGGCAGGTAGGAGCACAACAGTGGTAGCACCACGTCTATTATGTGAGGAGCTTCATTGTACGTCTTATCCGACTCAACAAATTGATCCACTTCGCCCAGGATCGTTTCTAATGTAGGCATACATTGTTCCATTTTCTGCATTATATCTGATGGTGTAGAATTTAGATTACAATTTAGATTTTGGCTGTGTGGTCACACAACATATACATATAGACCCGATAAAACTCATAAGCTTATAATTAACGTAAAAAAAATGTATTATAATTTTAAAACCATGATATATTGTAATGCACTATTCTTTATCCTTTAAATGGTGGATTTTTTGTTCAAGTTTTAGATATTACTTATTTTAGAACCTGTTTAACCTAAAGTTATTATTGTCCTCAAGTAAGAGACAAGTTTAAATAGGAGTGTTATGACCAATTCAATTGGTTTACAAATGGTGATACTAACCGTAACATTCTTAAAAATATATTCAGGCGAATTGAGAATCTTCTCCCTTTTTGAAGGCTTTGGTTTTGGTTAATCATCGTCTAATCGTAATAAGGTGGCTTGACACTTACCTTGCGCTTCTAGTGAATGGTCTGCGATCCTGTTGAGAAGTGAAAATTGGTTGTGCTTGTTCAGATGTGGTTCCAAAAACGCCACAGGGAATGTAGAACTGAACGCGCCGAGGCTGGAACCCTAAGTAATGAAACGTGTTTATTGAGAGAAAGATTAAAGATTTTCGAAACCATTTGAAAAGACACATTACTAGAAGTCAGCTTAGTACAAGCGATTTTTAAGGTTTAGGTTAAGTTCCATTTCATTAAGTTCATTTTTTTATTCTAATACGTTTTGTACCATTGACAACGTGTTTACATATAATATAAATAAGTTTATTAAGTTTTATAATATAAAAAAATAATAGTCGAATATATACATTTATATACTTACCAAAGCAGGCTTATGTCTTTCTATCTCAGTCTTCAGGTACTTTCTATCGTGGGTCAATGTTGCGTCTGTTCCTAACGCATATAGCGAGCCCAGCATTTTATATGAAGCCACTTGAATTTCATCCACTGTCAACAAAAGGTTAATATTAAATATGTCATATTAACCTTGATTAGGGATCTGTTAAATGTATATAAGCTATCTTAATTACCATGTGTTACATTTGATTATAAATATGTTTTATTGCAAGATTGTACACTGTGCGCTTTTTAAGACATTTTTTGCCAAGTACAACTAATCTGTGGAACAAGTTATCGTCTGCGGTATTTTCGTAACGATGTGACCTATGAACCTTTAAGAAAAGAGCGTACTCCTTTCTAAAAGGTCGGCAACTTGAGTTGCAGGCGGCTGTAATCACTTTCTATCAGGTGACCCGTCTGCTCGTCTGCCTTCTCTTATATAATTCTTTTTTTATTAAAATACATATGTTTGCAATAGGAACCCTTCAGCTTCTTACTCACGGATCGTCAGAATTTACCACCGGTTTTCCTTGTAATTTGTTACTAGTTATCGTCTGAAATTCACAGGGACAAAAACTAACAATGGTAAGGAATAATTAGACAAGTATAGAAATAAAATAGTCGAAATGTGTACATATGTGCGTATATAACATAGGCGTTATTTTGTAATCTCTCTTTCTCTCTCTCTTTGTGTGTGTGTAAATATATATGCTATGGCGACTATAAGGGTTCCTAGTCTAAGTACTATGGAACCTTAAAATTGTGTTTTCTCAGACGTAAGTGTTTATATAGATTTTCATTCAATTCGACCACCGAGCGAAAACTATGTAATGGGCTCTCTAACTGAAAACCTACAAATATTAAATTGGAGACCTATGTTTTTAAATATATTATACAATATTTTTAAAGGCATAACATATTTGATAGGGATACATTTCAACATACAAGAACATAGTTTATGGTATACTTGTAAAACAATAAAATAATACATAAAATTTTATTAGGTAGGATGTGAAAACGATCAAACGTAACGTAAGGTTGGAAGCAATTTATTTATATAAGTGTTTCATGTGATATATTAAATGTTTTCGTATATTTGGTGTTGTTCTGTGATCCTGTTAGCCGTATTGGTAAGTATCAACATTTAATGGTCAACTGTCTTCATTAAAAAATAGTTTTTTTATAGGGAGTTAAAATTAAAACAACTTTTTACAAACAGTTTGTTTCTCATTGACCTGTTGATCTAAAGGGGTAGAAAAAGATCTGTACGTACCTACCGTTATGCAATAATTTTGGCGGATTTTAAATAGAAATTTTACATTATTACATAAAGTTGAAAATGTCCTGGATTTATTTTGGTAAAGTCTCCTTTCAGAGATTGGTCGCCGAGTTAGGGATAACGGTGGTGAGTGGTGACTCCCGCTCCGGTTCGGTCGTGATGAAAAGGATGTCCATTGTCCGTCGCAATTCAGCGGGGCGGTATCATTTGCATCGGGGCGAAGCGGGGCGGATTTATGGATTTCACTTGAATTGTGTTCTTAATTTAAATTCACATTACTTTTGTTTCTTAATACATTAAAAAAAACATATTAAATATGCAATGAAACGAGTTGCTTATGTTATTGACTATATAAGTTAACTATTTAACTATATTTATAACGAGATCAATTAATTATTCTAAAATTTTAAGGTCATGCGTAATGCCATTAAATGAGATAAACTTAAGATCCGTATTCATGGACCCAGATACTAATAATCTATATTTATAACCGATATAGGTACGTTTTAGCAATCTCGATAATTTCTACTGCCGACCCAGTGTGGGCTGAATTCCCACCCAGGAAAAACGTGTGACGAGCATGATAATTTTTGATGTGATGATTGTTGTGTATGATCTGCCTAGTTTGAGATCAGATGGCAGTGTAAGAGATGTGTCAAGTTATTCCAATTAAGCATGATAATAATTTCGATACAATAAATAATATTTATTTAAGACTAACAAATATATATTTTTAATTAATTAACTTTTAGGATATAAGCGCCGCAACTAACTCATCAGAGAAAATTGCTGACGTCATTAAAAATATATCGCGAGTCAACAACGTTCTTCAGGAGTTGATACAAAACTATGAACACTTGCAAAATATATACAAATCAAAAGAAATTTTCGAAGTCACCGAAGGCATCTTGTTTCGAGAGAAAAATGTAAGTAATACTAAGAGAAATTCGTTTGCAGTAACAACAATGATTTTGTCCGACGAAGAAAGAACTTCAGAAGAACCCTCTGAGGAAACAAAAGAAGTTAACGCTGAAACTATACCAAGGATAACGGTAAACATGGATTTAACTACAATAGAAAGAGTTTCATCATCTAAAAAAGGTAGAGCCCAAGTAATATTTATCAACACTCGGCAAAAAATATTAGACATGAAAGAGAACCAAACGCAAGTACGAAATGCAACTAAGAAAACAAGATTTAGCATTCAGAAAAGTGGTCCAGAAGGAGGCGAAACAAATAAACCAAAATATTTGTTACCCTACACAGACGAAGACATAAATAATTTTACTATGACTCCAACAACATTATTAAGTACTAAACGCATACGTAATGAATACAGACCCTCAACTGGTACCTCCAAAAACATGTTTGATAAATTAGAGTTAAATAACGCAAGAACTACAACAATGACAACAGGTACAATGAAAGAGAAAATAAAGAATTCTCAAGGCATGATGTTTATTTTGGGAGACCAGATATATAGCAACTTGAGTAAGGTAACAAACAACGTTCAATTTTACCATATTAGTGATAGAACTTTGGTGGCACCTAATAAGAAATCAAATAAAACAGATATAATGCTAATGATGGAGTCTGAATCTGTAAGTACATTACTTTATGTTTCTATATTTTCCAAGTTTATAAAAAAAATGTAATCATGTTGACGAAATCTAGGGCCCATAGTATAGTCTGATTAGGAAAAAAATGATGTAATGGAAAACAAATGGAACTAATTTCTTTAAATGGCAACAGTACTTAACTTTAAAACTTCATTAACATGTTATAATTGCAATGGAAAATATAAAAAAAGATCTGAACTATGGTAGGGCTAAAAGTGATTCATCAAATAATGTAATACCTAGCAACGAATTTCATGTCGTTGGAATCCAACTACAAAAAATGTTTTGTCGTCTTTTGTTTGTTGCACCGTATAATACATATTTATCTGATTATCATGACGAAGCCCTGGACCGTGTTTTTCTTTCCTCTAGTTTTACTTATTTTGAGTACGATGTGCCCCAGAATATTAATATTTGATATATCATATTAATATCAATAAAAGCTGAAAACAAAACACAATATTGTTTTAAACTCGTACAAAATGTGTTTTTGATTTCTAGGCCTCTGATGAAGGAGAAGAAGACAAGTCTTCAAAAGGTTCTTCCGATGAAGGAAAGCTACTTGCCAAGGATATTGCCAGGACCAGTATACTAAGAAAGGAATATGGTGACGCTTGCTTGAAACTGGTTGTAAGAAAATGTTACAAGGTAAATAGTTAATAAATTGATCCTCTACTATTTCGTTGCGGGGCTGAATCTTTTATCAATCAATTTTAGCAATGTTGTCGAGCACAACATTGCCTTTATCGAGCATATCATATTTCCTTTTACCTCCCTTACCTACAGTTGCTTTCCCTTCTACCATTCCTTTCAATATACTCCCAATTTCGACATTTTTTCCCATCTAATCCATAAATCCAGTTGTCGCCAATGCTGGGCTTAGTTCCGCAATTTTTTTAAATTAGCCTACGTATTCTTGAAGAAACATTATTCGATTAAGAGTTCCCAGCTATATACGAGTATATAGAGCTGCGTTATAATATTTTATTAAACATACAGTCGAACATAGGCCTGTAGATAAAGTAGCAAATGGAATGAAAGAAACTGCAATAAAACACAAACCAACTTGGCGTTGCTTTTACACAGACTTTTTTTCTACGATAGACCTAAGTCTTTAGGGCCCCGCAACTGAACTATGTCTGGTTTAATCGGTTCAAGTCCGGCATACAACTTTGCTACTGTTCTCTATAAGTTGATGACTCATGAAGTCCACACAATAAAAACAGATCTAATTGCTGTTTATTTGCAAAATGTAATAATACAGTATGTACGGTTGTGACTGCCCAACGATACAGGAAATTCCATGTGGAAGTCTTATTTTTTGTAGCTACACAGTTAACAAAAGATATACCTTATGTGTGTGCTGGAAAGGCTATTATTAGTATATGCAACCCATATGAATTTTATTCCAAAGGTTTGCAAAGCTGTATATAAGTCCATATGCAGTGATCAGTGCAAAGATGAATTTGAAGACGATTACGAAAAATTCTCTAGAACTGGTTGTATTCGGGCCTTCGTACCAAAGGACGCAGTCAAGGAATTGGCCAGAATGTGTACGGATGTATCAAACTGTACTAGTGTACCTTACGACAAATTTAGTCAGACAGTAGGCAAGAAGAAGAAGAAAAATAATAAGAAGAATACGGTGCTACGAGGGCAATACTTTCGATTTAATAGTGAGAGTTTCTAGAATATTACAGTCTACTAGTAGGATCACCCAGAAACCTCATGTATGTCCATAGGAAATGCAGTAAGCGTACGAGTTGAATGCAGTCGGGGCTTGAGGTGAAGGGCAGGTGCATCTTCTCCCGCATCACACACCCGCAGTGTGGAAATTAGCACATTCCTGAGCTTTGCATTCAATTTGTACTTACCTCAATTCGTAGGTAAATAAGAAATGGATACAAAACTAAACAAAAATAAACTTGTATTAGTAATGAAATGATTTATGGGGTCTACCAATAAGAACGTCCTGGTTTAAAAATTGAATAAAACACACATTTTTTTATGAAAAATGCATCCCATTAATTTATTTGATAGATAATTTTATGCAATTTATGTTTTAAATAATATATCAGCCAAATGACCGCTAGGGCTCTTTTTGCAGACGGTCACCCGCTCACGCCAATTTTCGATGCCACGGTGCACCATTTCGGCCGGTATGTAGGCTATGGCTCGTCAAATGTTGGTTTTTAGGTCACAAATTGTAGCTGGATTATTGCTGTACACTTTAGATTTATCGTAACCCCAAAAGAAAATAGTCTAAAGGTGTTAAATCACACGATCTTGGTGGCCAACTGATCGGTTTATTTCTCGAAATTAACGACTCACCAAACTTTCCACGAAATAATTCCATGTTCACTCGAGTAATGTGAGGTGGTGCACCGTTTTGTTAAAAATAAAGGTCGTCTGCATCAATATCATCAAATTCCGGAAAGAAATATTCGGTTAACATCGAGTTATGGCGAAGCGCTCTTACTGTAGCGGTAGGAGAACGCGAATTTGCCTAATAATTTTGGACAATTTCCAAGCGTTGGTTTAAAGTGAAACGTGACATGATAAAATAGCAAACCTTACTGAACACAAATGTCAAGAGACGTCAAAGATCCATCATCAAACATGGCCGCTATGAGCTGTCAAAACCAGGTCATCCCTATTGGTAGACCCAGTATATCTCAAATATGGTTTTTTAACAAAATATTGAGGCAGGGAGATTTACGTTCAAAAACTTATATTTTATACACAAATAATAAAATCTGTTTTAGGCATGCAAATCCGCGTTAAAAGCGGTATGTCGACATGCTCATTGCAAGGCTGATTTCAAAGTGGTGTATAACAAGAAGTATAAAGAGAGCTGCGATACATTATTCGCCGATGTTGCGCTACGAACCGCTGATCAAAGTGAGATTAGTTTTATTTTTTAAATATATATTTTTGAGCGTAGAACTCTCTGATGAAACCCGAACTAATACGAGGGATTTTTGGTGTTTAAAGGAGTCGGCGGTTCATGTCGTCATGTTCATGACTTTAAAATTCAGCTTTGCGGCCTTTCTTTTTGACGGAGTGGCAAGTCCCTTCGGATCTTCTGCTCCTCAAGGAATCAGGGGCCAGGAGTATGTTGTGATTCCATTAAAACCACAACAACGGCCAGCCTCAAGCTCCTACCGCCGCCGACGTCGTCTTCGTTGGGGATCGACCCTCTCCCGATGCCGTTTAGCGATATCTTTTTGAAGTATTACAGCTTCACAGAAAGAGACCACTGCGCTTCAGCCTTCCTCACTATATGTATATAGTAGTGGTTGTAGTGATTGATGAAGGGGACAGGTCTCGTCCGATTTGTTCCGACGCCCACGCGGGGCCGTCTTCCAACGTGTGTTCCCCCTGTTCCAGCGGGCGGAGACCCAGTCGGCTGCGCAGGGCTGGCATTGTGCCGTATCCTCGCGTCCAATTAGATTTAGGTACTCACCGAAGCAACCATGCCCCAATGAGTACCTGCGTCAGTCAGTAGGTAACGCGACCTCCCTCCCGCACCCGCATTTCAGGGCTTAATATCACACAAACGAATACATTAATCAAAACATTGTCTTCACAAATTCTTGTTATATTTTCATCGATCCCACATTAGGAGTGGATGAATATAAAAAATGACATCTCCACTTTAAAGGTACTAGAGGTACCCTAAAAACAATATTCTTTAAATTTTAATAGAGGTCTATGATTATTTTCTGAAATAAATTTATTTAGACATTGTTGATGGGTGATCCTACTTTCTAAACTGTTTTTAATAATATTGATACAAAGTGCTTTTAACGTAACAGTACTTTTAAGGTAAAAATTATTTGGTGAAATGAAAAACCTTTTGATATTTTATGTTTTATAAAGGCCCTTTCAATAATATTACAGAGGGCGAAATGCGGGCGCTTAATACGTTAATGGCTGGATGAATCGACAGTTAAAGTATTGTTTTATCTGTCTCAAAAACCCAAGTAGTTCAGATAGTTTTTTGAAAGAAAAAACAAAATAGCGGATTTTTGGCGTAAAGTAGTTATAGGTCAATGAAAAAATAATTACAAAACCTAACGAGTAGGGTATCAAAATCAAGAAAATTAAAAGGGATTATAAAATACATCATCATCATCAACAGCCTTTAATAGTCCACTGCTGGACTAAGCCTCTCAGAAAAATACATATGAACTTATATATTTAAATTTAATAAGGAATAGTAAATTGGTTTTATAAAGGTGGTCTTTTTAGTGCATTACTTTTAAATTGTATTTTTGGAGTCAGATTATTGTTTTTTTTAATTATTTGCTTTTTAAATCCTTATAGAATTGTTAGTTTATAATTATAAATATGTTATGCATATAAAGCCAAAGAACTTTTACCGAATAGAGCAAACGTTAAAGTTACTTTGTGTCACGGTTGCATTCTCAATAAATGTATGTTCAATGTTTTATTTATGTTGTAGTTAATGAAAATTCTCACGGCTACTTGACCACAGTTTGTCAACCGCCGCAGCCAAATACGGTAAGAATTTCAATTTAATTTTTTTCTTTTCTTTTTAAAATTAACGAGCATAGCGCTTGTAAAATTAAAAGTTAACTTTTCTTTATAAACGGTCATGCCAAAAGTAAAGGTACTCAATTAAAGTACCTGCTACTTGAACATGTCATTTTGGTTATTTTAGGCACTATGTAAACATAACTATTTAAATAAAATAAAAATAACAGAGGCACTCCGGGAGTGCCGATAGAAGTGAATACTTATATACCGAGGTGTCGGTAACGCTAACAGTGTTGCGAGTTCAATTGTTTTTTTATTCACAAAAAATGCCCAACGCGCCTAATGAAGTTTTCACTTTAAAAACTTAAGTAACTTACTAATTTTCTTTGTGGTCTAGGGGGGAAACGAGTAGACGGGTCACCTGATGGTAAGTGACTACCGCCGCCCATGGACAAATGCAACTCAGAAGAAGAAGGCACAAGACTCCTCTCATCAGAATGGGGAGAGGATGTTAGGGCTCCAGCTCCCACTCACTCGGTGAAAATCAACGAAAGAATCGCTTAACACCGGTTTACTGTGAGGCTGTACTTCTATCCACACCACAATCGTGGGATTTAGAATGTATCGTAAAGAAACTCGATAAAACCACGTTGTATACTGAGACGACACCCTTTCGACGTTCATAATTCACCTTCACACCTCCACAGCCTTTGTCATTATTTATGACAAAGATTGTGTGTTCAGTCTTTATATGTAAATCCTTATAAATAAATTTTATTATTTCTTATTTTCTTTCACAGCCAAAACTCGCCCAAAAAACAGAACCAACGACCAACACAACAGCGTACGAAAGAAACCTTCACATTCTCAGAGTTAGATACGAAAAAGCTTGCATCAAAACATCTCGAGAGAAATGCAAAGACGCATGTACATTTTCTTATACTAAAGCTTGCGAGAATAACAAATGTAAAAAGAAGAAATTGGATAACTTCAGTAAAGAATGCAGTCGACAGTGTAAAATAGCTTTTAAATTCGAAGGCAAGAAAAAGAGTTCCAGCAGTTCAAGTAGCTCTGATAGCGATGCCGATAGCGATGATGATGATGATGATGATAAATGAATATTTGGTGATTACATTTGTTGGTTAATTAGGTAATCGCTATCATATAAAACATTCAAAGTTATTTTTTTTGTTATTATTGCTACTACTACTGAGTAGCGTTTGTCACTGGCCTGGGGATCACGGTGAGATTGGCTGTTACACTAGCAGGAGCTGGCCTGAGACAGTGGTGCGAAGTGTTTCGCAAGCCTCTTTAAACCGGAAGGAGGACAAGGCCCTATAGCGGCTGCCTATAGCGGCCAAGGTCTACCAGGGTTCTTGGGGATTTCCTTCCAAGGGTATACCTGAGTTACTGCCTACACATGTGAGTCTATTGCACAGACTTACATGTGACAGAACACCGAGTAGATTTAGTAGATTCGATTACACCGAGATACCCCTTCGTCGTGAGGTGATGACCCGTGGGGGCTTGGACACGAAAAAACCTTTGTCATCGATCTAGCAGGTATCGTATATTAGATATTTCCGAAAAGAGTAAAACCGTCTTTCCTTTATAGGTATATCGAAAAATGTCATGAAAGTAGTTTTTAATAGTAAATACTTTTTAAAATTAACTCTTTAACCTTTAACAAATAACTTTATAAACTTATCTAAATAAACTGTATTCTCCATTCTTCAATTTTCCAAGCTTAGAGGTGGTATTTTTTCTCCAAATTTGCATGGGACCAACAGAAAGATACCGTTTCCAACAAAAAATATCTAAATCGGTTCATAAATGGTGGAGTTCTAAGAAATAATCATAAAAGAAAAGAAAATACAACTGAAATGACGTCGTCCTAGTTTTTTGAAGTCGGTTCAAAACGAGCTTATTTTAGTAGTAATGGACTCAATCAATTCATTTATATGGTCATACAAAGGTGGTAAATATAATACATGTAACACATATGTCATATTTATTTGGTGGCTTCGTTATTAGATGGTATACTTACACAAGAGGTCGGCCCCATACTCGCAGTTGGCCAGATGATCAAACATGGCGGTCAGTATGGGAAGTAGCACCCCATTGATGTAGCCTAGAGAGGTAGATGTCTTCAGGTGGGTGCCGCGAAGATGTGCATATTTACCCTACAGAAATATTACGGCTGTTGTTATTAAGAAAAGTAAAATTGTTGTGTTTCTTGAGATATAGTGATAACACATTTATGATGATTATGATTTTACAAGCTTTCTACTAACTTGCAATGTATGTAACTATGTTTGTTCGGGTGAAATCTTGCAACTTAATTTTAAAGCAGATATCTTCAATCGATTGAGCTGACATTTTGTGTACACGTTTAGTTTGGATGACAATGTATAGTTAGCTGTATGACGTCATAAATGGAAATGGTGGAACACCCAAGATGGCGGACTAGTTATATTTAATGCACTCCTACAATATGGGTATCAAATGAAAGGGCTTGCTGAGAATAACTAAAAAAAAGCTTGTTTTTAAAAAGGTTTTTTTTCCTTTTAGTCTATTGATATTCTCTAATGGTTGGAGATTTTTACATTTCCTTTTCAATATATTTTACTAGCTATTGCCAGCGGCTTCGCTCGCGCGATTATTACTTATATCGTGTTTCTAACTTTAAAAATGATGAACTTTCGTAAAACCACTCATTTCTTATTTTATGCCCTTAAAAAAAAAAAAAGGGGTAGAATATCCAAAAATCCTTTAGTGGGTACTTACAAAATAAAAAATATCAACTGCCAAAATGATTGAATTTGAAATTGAAGAATCAGTCGGTCAGTTATTTTATTTATTAATTTGGCAAGTAATTTTATATGTACTTTCTACTTTAACAATTTTAAAATTATGGACTATGCAAAAAAGTCAGGATGTTACGTGTAGAAGAGATTCCTACACCCAGCAGGTACAGGGAGTGCCCTACACCTCGTAAATGTAGACACGTGGGTGTAGGCAAAAAATAAGGTCTGCATAGTGATGACAAGGTACTTTTTAGAAGACTTTTTCGTGGTAGAAAGATATACGTACATCTTGCAAATTTACGATAGTATGTCCCACATCGTCAGCCACGTTGTTAAAGAATGTCAGCATGGAGGTTCTGATGAACTCGGGACAGTTCTTGACGAGGGACTTGGCGTCGATACCCTTCACCAGGACTTGCAGACACCGTACTGTGATGCGTACGTCGGGACCGAAAGCAGCCAGTCTGGGAAAGAACACAGAAGTAGAAGTTAGGAAAGATAATGTAAGGATTGAATTAAATTAAGTTGACTCTTATACTCGTAACAGTATTTACTAATTTACTGCCTATACTTGGTATCACAGGGTTACTTTTTAAGTTGATCTAGATACTTTAGGAGGTCGTAGTTGCTATCATTGCTGATAGATCGTACTATGAAATATCACATCTCAATCCTAACCATTTTCAAGATATTGAAATGTTAAGGTTTTTTATACTAATTACCGAAATTTTGCCTAATACAATTTTTCTTATAGGTAGTTTATATCACTTACTTTTTCTTTTTTTGTGTCGAAGAGATGTTGTTTTTTAACCATCGCCAAAATTGTAGTAAATTTAATAAATAGGGCCGAAGTAGAGGGTTGATAATAGCAAACAGAAATAAATGTGTAAAAAATGTTTTCGTTAAATGTTATGTATATAGTTATGTATATACATACCTGTTAGGTTTGGGATTTGGTATTGAGTGCTATCAGCACAACCTCCTAAAGTATCTAGGTCGAATTAACTACTAACCCAGTAAGTAATATGATGTACAAGAAGTGGAAATTGCTCGTGGTATACTCATAAAACTATTGAGATAGAAATATAATTTATGGAATTAAGTTGTGCTTTAGAGAGATAGATATAAACTTTTTATTGCACACCAAAAACAGCATTGTAAAATCTAGAAATACATTAGTCTTAGTCTTATCGAATTCTCTGACGTCTTACAGACAACCAGGATGGATATACGTTACATTTATTTTCTGTTACATTATGTTGTACTTTTGTTAATTAACTTTTTGTATTAACCTACAGTAATTAATAATTCAGCCTAAATAGTAACCGGAAAAAGTATGCAAAATAAATGTGTTAGATATTCAGATAAAAAGGTCGTATCCAGACTTCCCTTATAATACATTTAGGAGCTGTTTCAGTTGTTATTTCCTCACCTGGATCTCAATAAGCTGGCCAGCTTACAGAACAGCGCAGCAACCATCTCCTTCTCCTTCAAGCTGGCGGCTCCGACGTTGTTCGTAGCCGTTGCCACCGCTATGAAGTAGTTGCGATGGGTGGAGAAGTATTTCTCCATCAGAGGCAAAACCACCTACAGTTGCAATCAGTTTATTATTAGCTCTGCCTTTAAACCATTCATTTTTTTAAGCTGTTCTAAAGATTGTCGTATGCGTCATAAGTCAGTCAGTACAGTTTCCGAGGCGTGCAAGATGATACACTACAAAATGTAGCCCGTTATAATACGTTTAAATTCTTAGCTAAAACAGTTTTCTACATCTATAGTTCTATTTTTTTACTAAATTACGAGTACATGGTATCACGAGTAGACCACTAATAAATAATTATGTAGTTTACTGGTCTGGTAACACTATTGCATTTAAAAAATACCGTAAAATTTTGTTGCAAGAATACAAAATACTAATTTTACCCAACATTGCACGTTCATTTTTTTAAATTATGTAGTATTGCATTTCACTAGTGAAAATACAATTATGTTATCATGATTTTTTATTATGGTATCTAATGATTGTACCTTTTTGAAATATTTTAGTTCCGACTTGTGTTGCTTGAAAAATTAATGGAAAATAAATGAGTAATTATTAATCAGATTAATTTAAAGTAACTTATTTGTTAAAATACTATCTATTGCTGATATTCGTCATATTAATTCAGTGTAAGCTTTACTCGATGTTATTTTTAGGTGTTAACTTAAAATATCAAAGCACATTTTATGATATACCCACTCCATAGAGTAATTTGGATATTTTCTAGCATTTAAATTCACAAAGTGATATATAATGGCTGAAGAAAACAATTGATTAAAATTCTAGTTAATAAAACGTGAAGTGTTTTTCCGATACTTACAGATTTACATTGAGATGTTAAATGTACAATCTCAAGACGTCTCAATACCTTGCGAATGTGTTATAACGTTTCGCAAATTCTTTTTTATCAGATAACGAACTGACGGGACCGCAGATAGTAATGAACTACCGCCACTAATCACACTTGCAACTCGAAGTACGATTTTGCATTGCCATGGAATTCTGCACTCAAAATTTCTAATAATATTTTGCAAAGAAAGGGTAATTAAATCAGTTAAAAAAAACAGGTATTCAATACATTTTGATGCATTGTAATAAACTCTTTAATATTCATTCGTTGTATTTTATCTTCTAAATTTGTAAACCAAACGGGAAGGGTTAACAAAATAAAAAGAATATTCCAAATTGGTTCATTAATAACGATTCTGAGCTTTGTAAGCTTTCACACATTGCACATCTTTTCTTAAAGTCGGTTAAAAAGAATAGCATAATATTTTAATTATTTAGTAAGTACAACTAATTAATAATTAAGATCGTATATTAGCAATAGATAAGTATTTAAAAATAAATAAATTGCCATTTCTTATCTTACCTTTGAAAAGAACTTAATATCCCTTGTACTAGTTTTAAAACTGGTCCTTCTACTGAAAGTGGTAGACGGTTTCAACAGCTTCATATTAATAGTCGCTCTGTCTATATACTGAATCAGTTTCTCGAGTAGCGAGTAAGCGAATCTCAACTCTATTGCTACACCGGTAGTGGTTTGTTCAGTGCTGTCGCTCACTTTGCTCGGCCGGTGTAATTTGTAGCCTTGGTATTGAAGGTATTTGAGGAACTCCTGGGAACGTTCGCGGTCTTTTTTCTTTTCCTTGTCTGTGAGGAGGTCGTAGGGAACTAGCTGAGGGTGTATTCCACCTGTGTAAAGGAGAATTTTATTAAGCCTTTCGCAACTGCCTTTACTAAACATATGCCTTTCCTTAAAATTAAGGTATTGACCTACTATACCCAGCTATACTAAGTTGGTGCCAAGTTTTCCTTCTGTTTGCAGTGCTATTGTCCTGCATAGTTTACTCTCTTAAGCGGCTCTTACAACACCCACGGGATGAATAGGGTGATACTCCGTATTCTTAATCCGTTACCACATGGACGTGTGTGATGTAATTCTTTTAAACCCACCCATAAATCTAATATTGTTTACAATTATCTTTTTTATTGAAACTTCACTTCTTATCTAGCTAAACGATAATACCGGAGAAAGAGATCTCTTACTCACCTCCATTAGTAACAAGCTCCTCCTTCTTCTTCTTCGCCCAAATGTCGTGGGCGTTCTCCGCCAACCGCTCGGCCATATTCTGCATTTCTCTTGACAGGGTTAAGTTCGTCATGTCAACAGGATGTGGGTTGTAGTTGAATGGTGTGGCTGAGTCAGTCTGGTGGAAGATTGGTAGGGTTACAAGGTTAGCAAAAGAATATGATGGGTCAATGCGTGTAGGCAGTAAGTACGTAACCAACACTAAATACCGCGTAGGAGTAATTGCGTTTTTATATAAAAATATGTATCTACTTTGCTGTTTATTTACTATGATAAATGTACTATAACTTTGTCTAAACAATAAGGGCTAAATATGACGTATATTTTTAGAAAATACATATGCTTAGTTGAAACTTTCTTTCTTTACTAAATATTTTTGTTTGAGTAGGTCAATGACATTATATTTTATATCACATCAACAGCCTTTAATAGTCCACTGCTGGACATAAGCCTCTCCTTATAAAGGACACCTTATTTTATATAATATATGTATATTTACAGAAGAACCAGTCACTCATGCGTTAATGCGTAATATTGCTTTTATACATTCTCACTGGTTGTAAACATTGTACTATATGGAAACGGGAGGGTCCTGGTGACCTGTAGTGAAGATTTTCATAAATCAACATCAGGCAATAGTCTCTCACGTTAGTTTTAGGTGCTGTTTCGTATAATAAACTATTTAAAAAAAAACTACACTAATTGTTACAAAATTTCATTAATTTATTTATTTATAACTTTATGCAGATTTGTACATCGGCGGACTTAATGCCCAAGGCATTCTCTGCCAGTCAACCTTTAGGTAGTGAAATCGTGAATGGTAGGCGCATATAGGTTATAACACTAATCACTAAGATATACGAGTACACTACACAACACAAAATAATTTAAATTGGGATGTTTTGAATGCAATTTCGATAAATGGCAAAGAAACAAATTTTATTACTAATATCTATTACTCCAAAGAAATTATGTTCTGTATGATTTTTATTTACCTACCAAAACAATTGTAAAATACTATTTGATAAAAAAAAACAATGTAGATAATAATGAAATATACCTACTTCGAAATACATTATCTGGAAGTGTAAATAATATACTTCGAATACATTTTAGTAACTAAATAACTAAGTAATTAAAAGCAGACCTTACGTGACAAGTTAGTGCTAACAAACTAAAAACTAACAAAAAATAATAAAATTATGCATAGATAAGAGTAAATACTTTGAAACGCCGTCTATCAAACTAACAGTAACAGAACTGGCATATTACGGCGTATACACTAATTGTAATTAATCATAGTAAAAGTAAAAGTACATGCGTATTGTATATTTTGTAATATAGAAAAAAACTCTTACTAAATATATTGTATAGATACTCATAGAAATAGAACAAGAAGATAAGTAACAGAATTACGTCATTAAGGTCGCATTCACATAAGATTCGAAACTTGGTCAACATAGATCTCTGAAGGTGGGTCTCACGCAGGCAGCCTGCCATAAAGATCAGCCAATTATGGTTTTGACTGAACTTTTATGGCCGGCTGCAATGAAACAGCAGTTGAACGTAATAAGTTCTTCTATTTTAGAGGCAGTTACAAAGGGCTAGGAGATTTATTTATTTTAACTGTATACTGATCAATTATTAATTTATACAAAATAATATGAAACGAAAAAAAATAAAACATCCATGCGAGAGATATCAGCATTTGAAAATTGTTGAATACAATTTTTTTTAGTTTGTGAATGCGACCTTAACTCAGGAAAGGGATTAATCGGAACAAAATACACCAAACAATAGTATGGCATATTAAACTCACCAATACATCGGGTGGGCGCTGTGCGGTGCGGGGATATGAAAATAACACACACAGTCAAGTGGGGAAGGGACATGCCGAGTGACGTCATAATTATTCATTCATACATTCACTTATTGAAGTGTCAAAGTTTTGTTTAAATGTTTTCCAAATTCAAATAATTAAGATTTTTGTTTATATTATAATTAGGGTTACATTTCAGAAATAATCAGGTAGTAGAATTTGAAGAGTAAAAAAATGTGAAATAACAATTTATAGAGCCTTTTCCTGATTATCGCTGTTTTTTTTTTATATTTTATAGGGTAATAGCGAGTTGAATTTATTTGAAAAAAAAACATGGCAATCGGTACTTAAGAATGTGTGCTTACAAACAAATAAAAAAAGTGTGTAAAAAATTTAAGAAGTATACCATTTCCTTCTTTGTTTTGTCCTCTACTTTCTGGGCGCATGCAATACATATAATTTAATGTACAATAAAGTACATACAGCATTTCCTTCTTAAAAATAAAATTTATCTCGTCTTGTATGCATGAATTGTGTATAAATAGTAAGTTACAAACCCTACTTCGATCGAATTGCTCAGATGATCACTTATTTTGATCGAAGTCTGGTAAATAAAACGTTTCGTATCCATTCATAATTCAATAGTATTATATTTATTTTTAATACTAACACAAAAAGTTTACAGGCTTAACAATTTTAGATACAAAAAATCACAACAAAATTGTTAAAGTTTGTTTCGTTTTGACGACTTTGCTTCCATAACTCAGTTACTGTTTAATGGTATTATTGGATGGAGCCTATTTACAGCATTTTTATGTATGCCCTTGCTATCAACTCATTTTTAATCTCATAAATTTAACAAAAAAAAACTTACGCCTCCAGATTTGGACTGTCTTCTCATAGAACTGCGGTTGGTACTGGGGATGTCTACTTCGGAATGTTCCACCGACCAGCCGATAGCGAGGAGAGCCTTCAGAGACTCACGAACTGGTTCCTTGTATCGCTCTTTCTCCTACAAAATAAAATACAAAATCTAAATGTTTAAGAGCACAATCAGATGCTCTTTCGACACACAAGACACAATTTTACAATGATTCAAAAGGTCTAACAGCTACTTTATTTTTATTATTGTCGTAAAAAACTAACAATTAAATGGCAAGTAGAAAACTATACGGACAGAAATCGAGTTCATAAATGATTATGTTTGGCGAGTCTCTACTTTAAATTTAACATAATGTAGTTGTCATTCCTGTTAACTTTCATAGCGAGACGTAGACTCAGTGGCATAAAGTAGTTAATTAGAGAATTGTTACATGGAGCTAAGTGCAAAATTAAGTATTCAGATCTATGTTTACTTTGATAAAATTTAAATAAGTAAGGTTACCCGGGAAACATCATAACTGATCGATCGATATTTACCAAACTATGTACGATTGAATTTTTCCCTCTTGGGTAACGTAGTTTTTTTTCTGTATATTTTTAGACATCTGACACACAACGCCATCTAGTTTCAAACTAAGCAGAGGTTGTACTATTAAAACTAGATTGACTGATGGAATACTTATATCCTTTTTATTTAGTACTACAATGTTTCTATATCATATGCCAATTATAATGACAACGTTTAGAATTTTACATTAAACGTGCTTATACTAACGTAATCATTAAGCATGTTGTAAGGCTTGAGTCGCGGATGGGACTTCTGCGAGTCCGACCAGGACTCTCCGTACACCCATCCGTTCTCGATCTTTCTCGACGCCCACGCATCGTGGTAATGCTCCGAGAACTTCTGTACTATGGTGTTTAGGTCGTTGTTTAACGCTACAGATGACGTGTTAATGGGCTGAGGGTCGTATTGTGGGTTGTCTGAACCACCTGGAATAACGAATTATAGTCAGGCATTTTCAATGTACACTAGATATCTTACTTATTCGAAATGTAACCGTGTAGTCTTTTTTACACAACTATTACTAAATTGAAGGAATTGAACTTAATTATTTTATTGAAGTAGCAAACAAAGTCATGATCCATCAGTTGTTAACCTCTTACCATTAGCATAACTAAATGTTTGTTTGCCATCTTTTTACCACAAATGAAAAAAATAAAAATTCAAAACTACATGTTCACAGCACAATAAAGTCTATCTGCAAAGCAGTTATGTCGTATAAAACAAAAAAACCTATATTGAAAATTATAATTTTATTATGTTTAATCTGTAACATGCACCAGTAAAATCGAGGCCCGTAAATGAATCATACCTGTGGTCGTCTGTTCCTTGCTGTAGAACTCGTCATCGTAGTTCTTGGAGAGAGAGTAATCAGGTGGCAGAGCACAACCTGCAACCATTATAAATTAGCCTTATTACCCCTACATATTTAAAAATACTGAATGACTGAGTCTGTAAGACTGTTGTATGTGTTTATTAAACTAATATAAATATTTATTTCGGAGCTTATGTCATTCTGTACCGCAGGTGTTCCCCCCTCTGTCTAGTATTTTATTCGCTATTAAAAACTCTATAGTTGCATTTTAAAAATGATAGCCATGTTTTATTCTAGAAAGGGCGCATGATAATTTCGACGTAGGTAGCAATTTATTCATGGCTATGTGACTAAGGCTGATTTTTGGCAACCAACTGTAGTAGATTAGAGGCACCGCGCTGTATATCTTAAAATAAATTAAATAAAAACCAATCAGTACAATTAAGCTATTTATAGGTGTTTTTGAATTGGTAGGAGTAGACCCGAGAAGCTCATTTACCTGTTCAAACATGCTACAATTTATAATGAGAAGAAAAAGCAAGAAACTCATTTCTGTCACTAATGTGCAGTCTAAATATATTATAAAAAGATGGGAAAGGTTACTCCGTGACTTCGTTATGAAATTATCCATACAGTCATACCTATAGCAATGAGACAAGGCAGCGCTTTCCCGAAGAGTTCAGGTTCGTAGTCCATCTTGCTGAGCGAGTCGAAGATGTTGGAGAACAGCATCATGGTGAGTCGTTTCTCCTCGTCGGACGAGGCGCCGTACAGGCCCTGCCCGCCCGTCGACCCGTAGTACTTGGCGCAGCGCTCGTAGTGAAGGGTCAACAGCTGCCGGGAAGATAATATTTGTTACTTTAATGAAAAGTTCGTATTAACCATACCGCAGTAGACCACTCAGTAAGTATTTCGTGGTACAGGTAGTCTTGTTTTTTAAAACCGAAATTAGAGCGTCCAAATAAACAATTGAATAAAAAAGTTCAGCTTCAATTTATGTGTTACGGAGAAGACATAAAACTATTAAAAAAATACTAGAAAAAAAAGGTTAACACAATTACTTACTCTAAGAGCTACAGTAGTATACTCAGAGAGTCTGGAGACGTCGACTGTTAGTTTCCTCAATAGTTTCAACAACATGGAGGGCTGCATCGCTGATGTGAGGGCAACCAAGAAGTCTGACACCGCCTCACGTTGACCCTTGGTTAACATGCGGTTCTTCGATAACCTGAAAATAAAATATAAACGTTGGGAACTTAAACGATTCAAAATTATTAAAAAAAAAGTTATTGACTTTAACACAGTGGTCTAATTAACACTAGAGTTATAATAATGGTAACGGCTTCAAAAACTTTCGTAACAATTACAACATTAAATAAACAACCAAATTTAAAAAAAAACTCGAGTTTCCTCTCAAAAATGAATTCGCGACATTGCGCCATATTGTTTTTTTTTACAAAAATCATAAATGCTGCTATTGGGGTTAAAAAGGAGGTTGTGACGATATTCAATATGTATGTTTTTTTTTAGAATCACTCGTTCCTTAAATTCCATCAAATCGTGCGTTTCAAAAAATCTTATTACATTCTGGGATATAATTGAATACTTTCTCGTAGACGCACAGCCGAGTAAAGACTGATAGTACATCACTGACCTGTACACTGTGTGAAGTGTGGCATCCAACAAGCTGCTGTAGTTCTCCGCTTCGTTGTAGAAGTACGCGTGTTTAATTAGCAGTGGCAGGATAGAATTGCCGATGTAACGGTTCATGGACAACGCCATGTCAGATTCGCAACCGTCATTCTGTGGACAGGAGATTAGTAGGTTTTAGGTAAAGGTCAGTTAAATCAGTTATGAAATTAACATTGAAATATTAACAACTGTTTCTGCTTCTGTCTATTAACAACTGTTCTTCTCTTAAGGGCCGTAGTAATGGATTTAATTTAACGTGTTTCAAGAGCTTTAATAAACCAGAGAGATAAACAGGTTATGTGTTGTATGAATTGTAACGATGTTTTATTTTAATTGTAGTCTAGTGCTGGATGAAGGCATCTCCTTAGAAATGAGGTTTTGGTCTACTACCAAAACCTCCTTTCTAAGGAGATGATAAGAGAGAGAGACCAAAACCTCCTTTCTAAGGAGAGATAACTGTAACCCGTCTTGCCAGCGTGATACTACTGTACCTGGGTTACTCTAGGGTTTGTTTTAAGTTTTCTTATTACTTAAACTATAATCACTTTTTTTTTTTAATTTACGGTATTTTAGAACCAGTTTATACCATTTTCGTATATTATGAATTATCGCCAAATGTATATAACAACATACCTACAAAGAACCGATACTAATTAAATATGATAGGATGAATAAGTACTGTACTTACCCTGTCCAACATGGTCGCCGCTCTCAGATCAGGCAAGAAGGCCTCCTCCAGTAATTTGTAAAACAGCTCTTGAGTTTCAATACCATATACTCTTTCTAAGAACAGTCCAACGCTTTGCTTGTGACCGGGGATTAGACCTGATGGCATATCTGTGGAAAAGCATCAAATTGATTTAAAACATGTATTCCTACTTGTATTTAAAATTTAATTAATGAATTTCAGTTCTTTGCGCAGTAAGGTGTTAAATACAAATGAATAAGAAGTATTTGAAAATGGTAATAAGGGGTATCTACGTTTAGTTGCTAATATAACTAGGTAAACGAAATTTAAATCGAAATTTCTTAAATTTCTGTAGGTACAGCATTACATGTTTACAGCGGAACGAATTTAGTTTATTCTAACTTATAAATGTACTATTTCCTTCTATACAGACATTAATTTACGTATAGAATAGTTTTAAAAATCACATAAAAAACTATGACTTTTTTTATCTCGCTTAATTCCTGCAATCTGTCTATACAACATTTAGCTAGATTTTAAACATCTGTAAAAGGACGTGTTTGGAGCAAATCCAGTGATTTGCACAACTACATTGAAGTATCTATGTGTCAGTCATGGATCTTGTTGCGCTCGTCCCCTTAATCTTCTGAAAGTTGTGACAGGTTTCTCTTTCATTAGATTCCTTGCAAGTTGGTTTGAGTGTTTTCGCATACGCTTCTTTTAGATTTGCATCGAATCTGCTACCTCCCTCTATATGGTGTTTATCCTTGACTCTCGTTGTAATCGGTCGTTTGTCAATCACATGAAAAACTATGACTTAAAACTAAAACTTACCAGACTTAGGACGTTCTTCTCCAGCAGCCGGATTGTTTAGAGTGAATCGTAAGCTGAGTACGCCCTGAAGGTCTTCCAAAGGTACCAAAGAACGTAGAATAGCGCGAGCTCGCAGGGATTCATTTTTACCCTACAATACAAACAAAGCGAGACATTACACCAGAACACCGTAGTTCGTTTTAGTAATATTTTTTTTGTTAAAGACAACTCCCGTGTCGAGGGGGGATCAAATCCACAACACTCAGCGTAGTAGAAAGCGGCGTGGCTACTACTTAAACCACTACGCCTATCCATATTCCCTTATAGACGTTAACTCTATTGTTACAGATTATCGATTTAATGGTACAAGTAAAATAATGTTGCTTCAAGAAATACTACTTATAATACTAACTATTTCATCGCAAAAGAGCCATGCTTCGGCCGATTAGGACCAGGTAATCTGGCCTGAGTGATACCAAAGCCTCAAAAAAACCAGTGTTAAGCAGTTCTTTCGTTACTTTTTTGTGATCCCGAACCCGATTGATAGAGGAGAGGAGCCCGAACCCTCCCACTCTCTAAGTTTCTGGGGAAACGGACTCAAAAGGTGGCAAGGCATTTGTGACTCTTAAGTTGCAGGTGTACATGGGCGGTGGGAGTCACTTACCATCAGATGACCTGTCTGACCTTCCCCCATATACCAAAACAAAAAAAAAAACATATGTAAAGACGACATACAGAAAGAGACATGCAATGGATTGTTAATTCAATGATGAAACTAAACTGGTTTAGAGAAATTGAGAATCTTCTATTGTGTCCTTTCCAATTAGATTTATTATCATATACTAGCTACGTCCCACGTAGCCTATGTGCTAATCCAAGGTCAGCTACCTCCATATCAAACTTTATCAAAATTGCTCCAGCCGTTTCAGCGTAAAGAAGTAACAACAGTAAAAAGTATAAGTGTGATTCCACCTTCTTTTAACCATTAAGTGTTCAGCAGTTAAACTCACGAGTGCAATGACGGCAGCATCAGGCGCGCAGCGGCCGAGCAGGTCCACGAGCGTGCAGTAGAAGTTCAGGATAGCAGCGCCCGTGTCGATGTAGTCCTCGTCTTCATCCGATTCCGGTAGGGGGTGGCTGAACTGAGGGTCACATATATAACGTTTTCAATTTTTTATAAAATATGTGTTCTTTTCAAGTGAGTACGAACAAGTTTTCAAGAAAATTTATTATTTATGATGTGTTCAAATATTGATTGTTTATTATTGGAGTTTACTCCTTAAGAATAGATTTTCATGTAAGGCACCCGGTATAAAAAAGAAAGAAGAGTAAAATTTAGTGATCGAATGACCTCGTTACATTTTTTGTGCGCAAGCTGTCGTGAGCACCTTTCACATGTGTGTATAACTTGTATACTTGTGTGCAGCCAAATCGTTCTTAACGAGTAAACTCCAGTCGTGCGTCGGAGCTGACGCACACACTTTTTTGTTTAAATTATTTCTTTCACTGTTTTCATTAATTTTTTAAATTCAATAGACATGAATTATAGTAACACACATTAAAGAAATAAATAGCTATGAGGAATGTATTATTCGAGTTAGTACAAACATACAATGTTTAGTTTCTTGTTTGTTAATAGCTGAAGTTAAATTGTAAAAATCCAAGAAAATTGATAAAGCTTTTAGTGTAAAGCATTTTGACATAAAAGCGTGTTTACGATCGTTTTTATTCAATGATATCACTTTGGCAAAACGAATGAAGACTCTGTAAGTATATCGAATGTACTGAGGGCCTAGTTTGAGTTTATTTCATATCAACTCGCTCTCGACGGCGAGCTCGTTCGACGTTGCGATTGATGAAGATGTGTGAGCCAATCACAACACCGAACGCGGTCACCGTTTTTTATTCTCTTTTATTTCACATCTTTTATTTGTTCAGTCTCATTTTTTATTAAAATTTAAGTGTAATTTAATTATGAAAAAATACATAAAGATTTGTTAGATAGTTTGAAATCCATATATTATATTTTTAAAACTCGATAATTTAATGACCAGTAAGGTGGTTAACCCATTACGCTTACACCGCTTAAATATTTTTTTATCAAGAATGTATATTAGTAAAACTGCAAGTGGTATGAAAGATTTTACGTCTAAACTTAGACGTTTATTAGACAAACGCTGTGTAACCTGACTTAGTACAATACCTTCCACCTAAAATGGCGGTATCCTCTTTTAGTCACTTCTAAAGCAGGCAGGGTGGGGTGAAGAATGAGATGGCAACGAAACAACTTACACTAACATCACCCTCCTGTTCTATCTCTCTTAGTTTCCTTCTGTCTGCGATTCTCTCACTCATCTTGTTGGCGTCGACAATGGCTTTCAGTAGACCTTCTCCTTCGCCCCTAAGAGCTGGACCGAGGCACTCTGGACGTCGGATGAGGAGTCGGATCACTAAATTCGCGTTTTCTTCTACACTCTCACCGTTTACCTGCATTAATGTATAAAATATATTATAATTAAACCACTACGCCATCCGTGCAGTCATTTTAAACGCTAGTCCTCCAAAATAAACTTTAATTACGAGCTCATTAGTTTACAAATAGTCTTACCCAGACACAGAAACGTAAGAAATCCAGATATCGTTCACCCTCGACTGGATCCCAGCCGAGATCAGGATATCCTTTTTCGATCAGTTCCGAGTTGCTTTGCAGACCGCACCGCGACAGGTAGACTGCAATCTTCTCCAAGTAGTGTTCTCTGCAGAAATTATAATTTAATATATTGTTAGGTTCACGAAACGTGGTTAAAAATATTTTTCGATCGTTCATATCGAAGAAACGAAAAAAGAGCACTTTGTTGTTGTTCAATTAAAGGTTTCTTCTCAGTCTCGTACTCCCTTCTCTATCCTTAGATTGCCTACTACTACTACAAGACGGAGAATATATTTAAATACCGCAGCTGAGCCATACATTTATAATAAATAGTTACATACTGATTTTTAGGTATATAGGGTTCCAGAAAGTTCTGAAAAAATATCACACCCAAGACTTAGCAACGGAGTTATCTGACGAATCGTCTTTGTATTATATATTGTATAAAATTTACACATTTTATGGAAGAAGTCCCGGTGTTTAAATTGCTGCTGTTGTATAAATTACCTTAAAGCCAGAGCCAATTCCGTATTCTCCATCAAACTGGAATAAGCCACATCTAGAGGGGTGGAACCCCTTAAGGATGGCCTGGCGAGCAGAATATTGGAGTTCTCGAGCAAAAAGTCAAAGTGGTCGAACATGGCCTTTTGGTTCTGACGGCCAGTACGGCAGAAGTAGCACAGGAAACGACAGCAGGCTACGACCATCTCGTGAGAAGTGTCCTGCGAAAATTATAATTTGGTTTGATGTTATTCTTCCAAGTGTTTTTTAGTAGTAGACCAGAGTTTTATTGTATAGGAAAAGATATATAAATCAATTTCGAAATGCGAAAGGAGTTAAAATAACATTGCAGCATTTTAGGTTCTATATGGATATTTCACAAGGTGGTTTTCTCGTCGTTTTATGTTTACTTTTGTACGTATTTGTTTTGTATCGAACATCACAATTTGACTAAGAATGACTGTAATAAATTATTTATCCTAAAGTTAAACAGACAGTTGTGTATATCTGTCTGTCTGTAATGTTAAAACGACTAAACGATTGGCAGAATTTTTGATTTTTGGGATAAAAGTACAGAGGACCTTTGGCAGTGACTGCTGTCTTGAAAATATTCTATAATATTTAAATAGTATAATAATATAATATTCTAATAATAATAATAATAAACAACTGCTTGCCCTTAAATACCATCTTGTGAATCTAGAGGTACCATACCACAGGTATGTGCCCGATCCAGTTCTCGAGAATGGTCGGGCCACGTTGTATTGGGATCGATCTATTATCACAGACAGGACTATTGTTGCCAATAAGCCAGATATTGTGCTGATAGATCGATTAGAGCGCCGCGCAATGATTGTTGATATCGCCGTTCCTCATGATCTCGTGAAAGTGGAAAAAGAAAAACAAATCAAATGAATTGGATTTATCTCACGAGATTGTCGATTGAATGTCGACGGAATGTCGATTCAGTGATCATTGTTCCGATAGTCGTATCCGTTCACGGATTGATAGCCAAGAGCCTCGACCAACACCTTAAGAGGCTCACGTTGGACGGCTGGATCAAGGGTCTGATGCAGAAGGCAGTCCTCCTTGACACGGCTCGTATTCTTCACGGAGGTTTCTATCTTTGGAGTCCTAACCACTGGTGTCTTGGTCCCTGTACCCGATGTCGGTGGTCTACTATTTTTTATATTTTTCAATGTATTTTTTTATATTTTTTTTATAAAGTGTATGTTTAAAAATGTAAATAATATGTATATAAAGTAAATAAGGAGAATAATAATATAATACTTGAATAGAAAAATACTTAAACAAATGAAAAACCGCAACTAACCTTCTCTTTGCTGTCTTCTGCAACGGGCTGCGACGTGGGCTGCGCGTCGGACTGCGCTTGCGCACGTCGTCCGAGCGTATTCATCATCACCGCCATCACGTTCTCGTGCACACGCAACACTCTAAGAATATGTTTTTATTATAGTCACCGTCACAGTCACAGTCTTTAACCGGTGCAAAATGAAAAGGTCTTGAAGACGGACAAAATCATTGCCGTTAATGATTGCAAAAAGACAGTATTCACGAATATCAACAAATTAATACACTCACTTAAAAATAGTCAAGTAAAACGAAGGTTTGAAAATATTTTACTAATGACAATTTGTACTGTGTATATACAACATACAATACAATATAAAACAACAATATACAACATATGACGTCATAACGCTTCTCGGATAGTGCAGACGTGCTCAATAGAAATTAATATTATTGTTATTGTTTTTGTCATGGATACTTACAAAATAATATAGTTAAAATGACCCTCACTCTGGTAAACGAGCATTTAGAAATTATATTTTAAATTTGCTATATATGTGTATAAAAATATTATTACCGGATCAAATCTGGATGCTGGAAGAAAGTGTGATTGTTGACGAGTTTCCTGTAATATGAAAATCAGTTACTTAGCACTCATTTTCTAAGAATGAATCCTTAATAATTAAAATGCTTGAGAATCAAAAACAACCCAAACAAAACTTACCAGAGTCTCTTCCTCATCAGTTCTTCTTCTTCTTGACTCATCTGTACAGGCAGTAACGCTCGTATCTGACTAAGGCCCACCCACATTTCGGCCACGTCTAGTTTAGTCTTTGCGTTAATGACATAGGTCTTCTCTAGAGCACGGATCAGCTCGCCGACAGCATCGTATTGACGTACAAGTAGACTGTAAAACAGAATTCGTTTAAAAATTACATTCAAATAAAGTGACCGTTGCAGCAATTTTTGACCACTAGAGATTGCTTGGTGGTAAAATTTTGACCGTTTTGTTTAATAACCAGTATAGATTGACCTGTCATCGCTTAGTCATTTCGTGCTATTCCGGTTTTATACCGGGTTCCGTAGTTTTTTTGTAGCTGTTGTCATATATTTAACGGCAATGGTTAAAAAGAGGTACATTATTATATTACATTACATTCAAATAAAGCCAGGCTCTGGATAGTGATATCTCTTTAATAATTTTTGATTAGCCTCGCCATTAAAGCGGAGTTTTTAATTTGACTAAAGTATATTATTTTACGTTGCACGTAAGGTGACTTTATCAAGAGTGTTCTTAGCTATAGATAATAAAAAAAAGTCTTTGATAGTCCGAAAATTATCAGTTATTTTATAAATAATTCTAAAGAGATTTTTGTGTTTCATTTTAAATTTCTAACTTATACAAGTTAGTTAAGTATAGTATAAGATAAGTATAAGATGAACAGTTTATTTATTTACGTATTTATTTAATAATATTTCTTAGTATACTCTTAAAACATAACAAAACATAGTTACAAATATGTAGACGTAACAATAGGCGGTGTTATCGCTCGCGGCGATCTCTTACAGTTTATTTACCTGAACATTTCTCTGACGAGTTTAGGCGTTTCGATCTGCGACTCCTCCGCCCAGTTAAAAATGGTCTGTATCAGAACCTTTCGGAACTTCTCCTCGGGAGTCTTTCTGGGCTCCTCTTCAAGCGACTATTTAAAAGCAATATAAACCAAAATTTAAAAGTACTTTTAATCAAATTATTTGGAAAAAAAGACATGTTCTATATTCCTTGACCATCCGGTTCGAAGCTAGTTAGGTCGGTTGAAACGTATGTACTGTACACCTAGAGCCATAAATGATTAAATCTAATGATGTGACATTTATATCACGAGAATTTAAGCAATTACTTCATAGGTTTAGAACGAACTAGTTTCGGTAGCTGTCAACGAGTCAACATTTACCAATGCAACCTGGTCGAAACGTCAGGCGATTCAAATGTAATATGTAATACCTTTTATTTCATCGCATTCATTCCTGAAGTCCTAACTTATTTATTACTAGCTGAGACCCGCGGTGTTACCCGCGTTTGTTGTTATAACCGCGGGCAACGCCGCGGGGCGAAGCTAGTCTAAAAAAAATAGCCTAAGTTACTCCTTATGTCATCAGCTATCTGCCAGTGAAAGTCCCGTCGAAATCGGTCCAGCCGTTCCAGAGATTACCCGGAACAAACAGACAGACAGACAGACAAAAATTGTAAAAAATGTTATTTTGGCTATGTACCGTGTAAATATACATATGCATTTAGTAAAAAGCGGTTATTTTAATATTACAAACAGACACTCCAATTTTATTTATTTGTATAGATAAAACGCGAAGGTTTAAAAGTCTATCTATAATATGAAGAATAATATATTTAATATTATTCAAAATAATTTTTATTTTTAGAAAAAAGTTAACTAATATTTACCTTGCCTTCTTCTTCTAGTTCCTTCACAGTGTTTATAATGTTATATAGTTTACTGAAAGCGCCTGTTTTTGTCTCCGGTTCCGTAAGTTCCTGTATGATTGTATAAATAAAATAAAATAATTAGTTTAAATCTGCGAATGATGATATTTCTCAATGAATGTACGAATGCCTATTACCTGTCCGTCGGGCTCCTGCAAAGCATTGAGCGAGACATGTCCCATCAGACTCTCATGAAAATCATTCATTCTTGCGATCAACTCCTCACCGCAAGGACAGTTCTCTTTGTCTTCATCTTCCATGTGCTTGAAACCTGAAAGAAAATGATAACATAAATAAATATTTTAATAAAATAATACGATTTTAATTTTGAATATATATTTATGTACATACAAGAGAATTAATGCGATAACGCAATTGCAATTAAAATCCACGTAAAATTCCCGTATAATGAAATGTGGAAGTTTAAAAATAAGTATTTTAGTTTTAAGTACTTATTGAATCTTTAGAAATAAAGTATCTATTATAGGGATGTAATCGTATATGGATTTATATTAAATGTGTTGGGTGAAATATTTCGTTTATAAATTTTATTATTTATCTTATAATTCATTCCATACATCTACTTAGAAGCAAATTAAATTATTTACTTGTATTAAAATTATAATTAGGACTATAAATAGAAAGACAACTAACTAAGTTTTGGCTGTGTTAATAAATAGTTTATTAATTGAAGTTATCAACTCACTCAAAATAGCGTTCATCTGTTCCCGCGGTGGACAACGGAACTCTCTCGTCTTCTTGGCGGCCACAGCGCTGGGCAGGTCCGACTGTTTGATCTCCGTGTAACGTCTGCAGATTCAATTATACATATTAGTATAGTATCAACCATATTCATTAATGATATTAGGTTATTATAAGCGTATATCAGTAAATTATTGTTTGATGTTGATTATTCAGTTTTTTGCGATTAATTACGGTTAATTAAATAAAAAATAAATAAAAAATACGGTTAATAATAATAAGATATTAGGACCCGCCTGTTGGTCTAGTGGTTCCTGACCGTTAAGTCAGAGGTCGTGGGTTCGATTCCCAGCCCGGGCAAATAATTATGTGATAAGCATGATCATTTCTTCTGTGTCAGGGTTTAATTTATCTATAATTAGTATGTATTTAGAAATATTAAAGTATGTTTATCAGCAGTCTGGTCACCATAGCGCCGGCCGTTTTTGGGATCAGACAATCCTGTACAGTATAAAAGATCAGTAAGTACATTCCAGGGTGAAGGAATTTCCGCACAGAAAAAAAGGGTGATGAGTGATGATTGTTAACTTCATTTACATTTGAAAACGATAATTCGTAGTTTATTTCTTGACAAAGGTTGAATGTTATTTACGTAACGATCCTTCAAATGTTTGTATGACCTGCAAATATTTGTTTCCCAGTTTGGGTGTTTTCTATGTATAATAAAAAGTATGTATAAAAAAAAGTATCTAAGTATTCTATCAGTCAAACTAGCTTTCATAGTACAAGCTCTGCTTAGTTTGAAACTAGATGGCGTTGTGTGCTAAATAATATTATTATTATAAAAGACGAAGCAGTGACCATAAACTCGATTGAAACTGCGAGAAACGGCTGATTCTTAATAAAATGTTGTACAAAGTAAATCAGACTCTCACCTCAGTTGATCAGTCTGCAGATCCCCCACGAAGTCGTGTGCGAAGGCGATGATGGCCTCAACCCTGTGTCTGAGCTGTATGTCGTTCAGATGTTGTAGTAAGTAACACATTTGTAGTTTAGCGCCCTCCGCCATTTTCATGTGGAGGAGGCCTTTGCGATGCTCGTCTTTGCCTTCTGTAAGTAACAACGCATAATATGTAATAAAAAAGAAAGACTTACAAAGAACATTCTGATATTGTAGTTAGGGCGGTTTTTGTTTAATTATTAACCAAAAACCTTCCTAACTATAATTATAAAATAATAATTTATTTTAAACACCAGACAAAAACAAAAAAGTATACAAAAAGCGATTATTACATTGTTCTGACTAGATCATAACTTTCATTTGACACGATGTGTTACTTCAACACGTGTTTTGACTTTGCACTGACTCTCATTCCTCCCCTTAATCCGTTAAAAAATTGGGCAATAAATGTAATCTACCGTATCATTTCTCCTGATTAAGACTTGTAATTTTTAAACGTGCAGAGCTGGTACGTCAGATATCCATTTTTTTTTTATAACAATTTAAATGTCAATCATCGTGACTGTAACAGCTATTTAATGAATCATAGTTTACCTTTATCAAAGGTAGGGTCCCAAGTTTCAGGGTTGGTCATTATGAGCAGCTTCTCCACGTCTTCGTCACGCATCATACCGACTAGCAGGAGACGGTCTACTAACTTGATGAGAGGTCTGTAATAGAAAAAAAAATAGAACATGTTGAATTTGTGTAATATTATTTGCTTCGTTTGTTTTGTACGAAAGATATCGCAGATATGTTTATTTCACTGGTCGTATATGAATATCTCATACACATTTTGTAACTAAAAAGTGTACCAATTTACTTCCTAATTTAAAGATTTTTCTACGTATTATCGCATTTTACATCAGATTGTGTCACTCACTTTAATACGTGTACATTTTTGGTACGAGTGATACGAGGGCAAGGAATAAAAAATTAAAATTTAAAAGTCAGCTGTTAGAGACATAATTAATGCAAACTTATTTAGAGACTGTGTAGAACTATATTTTTAAACTTTACTTTCGGCATCATCAACAGCCATAAAAAGTCCACTGCTGGGCATAGGCGTCTCCTTAGAAGGGGGGTTTACTTTACTTAAATTTTAAAATCAAAATCTGATAAAGACTATGACATAGTTACGCTATATGTCTTTCGTATAAAATTAATACACAATAAAGAAAATTAATTGCCATAATATGTTCGTAACCCCTGTAAATTCTGGGCAGGATGAAAGTATTATGTAATGTTTAATTATTTTTATTTTAAACTATCTGACGGTACTTACAAGAACAGATTCTCATTACTGCCTCCCACGGGGTCCCTGTTGTGTACTTGGTTGGTCTCCACTGCCTCGGCCAGAGCTTGCATCACGAACTCGCGAACTACTTCCAGCGGGAAGTACGGCGAGTACAGGTTACTGATGTCTGTAATGCTCTCACTAGGGAACAACAGATATGCTAGTAAAAAATATTTTAAGACAAAGTTATCTCTACATATAAATTTATTTGCTCTGACTTTCTGACAGATTCATCAAAGTCGAGCCTTAAACGCTGGAACTAAAAACTTGAAATTTTGATCGCTGATGTTTTTTTATGTTGTAAGCACCAGTAAAAAAGGATTTTTGAAAATTTCACCCCTATGGTAACATAAGGGATAAACGGTTGTATAGAAGTTAATAAGTTTCAAGGTCAGAAACACAAAATAAGAAACAATCATAAGAGAGAAACCGCGGACAGTAGCTAGTTACAATATAAAAATGGTGGGTGTTAAGTTTGACTTGAGTTTGATTTACAAACCAAATTTGTTAATCAAACTAAAGATATTTTTCTACAATTGAAAGTAGTTATATGAGTTATCATACTTTTCAGACTTCTTCGGGTTTCAGACTTCTTAAAATACATAGTTTTGAAAGCAGCGATCTTCAATTTGCCGGTAATAGAAAGTTTGAGTTAGATAACTCCTCAAGTCATTGCTTGCATAACCTAATCCTTTTATATAAGCAATATTATTTTCTTTTATTGGCAACGGAAGAAGAAGGATTAATATGGATTGTACCAATTTTCCTATCTTTAATTTTTAAAGTTTCTGTTGGGCCGTAAAAGGTTGTTACGTGAGTGGGACTCGGATGTTTTGTCTACCGATGCAAAAGAGGTGGTAAAGTTAAAGTGATTACTAGTCATCATAGTACACGCTCTGACTGATTTGGGATCCAGGGGTGTATGTGAGATGTATCAAGTTATTAGTATTATTTTGTGTATCTGTATATAAGCGTCACGACAACTCCTAAACGGATAAACAGATTTGTTTTTTTTTTCGTGAATCAACATTTGTCGTGTGTTATTTCGTCTTAGCTATAATTAAGAAAATCGATTTATCACTTCTAAAGTTATCAGTCCCTTTATAACCATCAAAGGGATTTTTGAGTCGAAAGTATTTTAAATTTTAATCTATAACTCGTGTCAAGATTAAATATTGATTACACATTTCTGTGTTTTTAAATGAATACTTACGCGATGTCTGTCATCTTCATCTGTGGTCTAACACTCTCTGTCTGCAGAGACCTCAAGCTGTGGCCCATGTCGGGCTCGTCGTACAACGCCTTCAATTCTGGTCCAAGAGGTATCACAAACTCGTTTTTACACGCCTCCCTATAATGTACAAAGACAAAGTGAGGGCAAGTAAATAAATAGGTTCTTCTTACACACGAAATCAAATTGTAACCTTAGCCGGTTTCGCCCTGTTTGTAATTTTTTCTATGAAATAGGGGAGAAAATAAACAGACACATCACCTGATGGAAAGTGACTACAGCCGCCCATGGGCGCCACAAACTCATGAGTCACAAGTGTGTTCCTGCCCTCTGAGGTCGAAGTATGTTCTTTTCTCAGTGATATTATATACAAAGAAGAAATAGATATGACACCACCACACAAAAAGTGAGGGTCCTAATTAGGACCACTGTGAGCGAGCGCACGTACTAATTAATTCGAAAAAAAATTAAAATGCCTTCCTGTGTATTCCGAAAGTGCACAAATTACGACAAAAAGGTAAATAAAGATAAAGGAATATCATACATACAGGTAAGTTTATGTTTTGTTCTAAAATGCATTAATGGATGTATGTACGGTTACGGAACAAATATTTTGTGCGTACAGTTCGTATACAACGTATCTTCTATAAAATATTATTGTCTTTTCTTGAGTGTTTGGAAGTCGTATCGGCCCGAAATACAGTAGTCGACAATGTGGTTCACAAATTGTAGTTGATTTTGATCTGTATGTGCAAATAAAAATTTCCTACACATATTTAGGAAAATACTTACATAGTAGTGGCATGCGACTCTAAATGCAATGCGATGAGAAGGTCATAAAACCCTTGACGTAACGGCCCCGACATGTACTGGGATTGAATTGCGTACAGGAGCTGCTTCTGGTCTACGTGCGTGCACAGAGCGTGCGCGGCTCTGGAATGTTTTAAAGTAACAGATATAAATATGATTGTTAGGTGTTAAGATCCCTTGATAATAAATACTCAACTGAAATGGCATGGTTTGTAATAATTCCAGATATATCAATCGCAATTTAACTACGTATTATCAATAAAAGTATCTATTTCGCGTTGATAAATTTGCTCTTAAATTTTTGGTAAAAACCATATTTATGCCCTACCTGTAGTTACTCTGGTAACACAATGCTGCGTAGAGTGTGAGGGTATGCGAGTGAAAACTAAGCAGTTTGTCCATTTCTATTAGCTCCAGAATGTCGATGCACCGGTCCTCCTCTGCACAGAAATATCAATTTAGTTATGAAACCCATAGGATTTAAATTTATTCCAGTCGATAGTTGGTGGATAAAACCTTTTATTACTATAACTGCTTTATAACATTTAAGAGAAAAACGAATAATAGTTACCAGGTATATGTAAAGCAAGCATAGAGACAGCGTCCTCACACAGCATAGACCAACCGCGGATGTCTGATAGCTTCAGAGCGTGTACTTGAAGCGATTGGTTTGGCACCTAAAACATCATTATTCAACAATCACATCATACGTATAAATTTGAACTAAAAATGAATAATTAACAAACATACCACATAAATATACACAAGTATATAGTCTATAAAAATTTATAATAAACTACCAGAAAAGATTAAGAACAAAGAAAAAAAAAATATTTTCATTAATAAGTTAAAACTATTCCTCTTGCGAAAAAGCTATTACAGTGTAAAAGAATATATGGATGAAATAAACAATTCGTGACAATGCATTTAACAACATTATAAAACATTATACTTGTTTCAGAAAAAAAAAAACATCACGAGACCATAGTCAAGCCTGACCAAAACCAATTGCAACAATTAACAAAATAAATCACAATAATACTAATAACCTTTATAACAAATAGTACAAACTTAGTGCAATAAATAATTATTAAATATTTAAATAAAAATAAAATAATGACTATACAGATTAAATATATATAAATAATATATTATAAATAAATGTAGTATAATCATTCCCCCCTCTCTCTCTCTTCTATGCTGTGCCCGACAGGGTCCATAATTGATACCTAGTTTAAGTTTTTACCAACTGTAAAATTTACATTATGGTAGCAATAAAGTATTGAGTATTGAAATAATAAAATAATTTACGATCATTAATCTACTAACTTACTACTAATCTACTTTTAATAATTTAAAACGAGAGAAACAAAGTTTTGCTCCGGTAAACAGTCTCTTGCCTAATATATTAAGCAAAAACACGTTACTTGTGAAATTAATAAACCAATTGTGTTATGAGGCCTAATCTTAAGGGATTTCGTGAATATAAGTAAGTTAGATTTGGGGACCCGATCTAGCACTCACCCTAGCCCATTGATGTGGCTTCAAACACTGAATCTTGAGTCTTGGCGGGAATTGCGGTATGACGTGCTTGTCGCTAGTTGGGAGCACTGCGGCCGATAGTGGTAAACTCGTCGACGACCTGCCAAGCTCAATCTGTAGTATTTCTCTAGATGTAGCTTCGACGAAGATAGCAGGGAACAACTTAATTTCTGGCTCCATCTGAAATAATGTTTTGTTTTGAAAGCTGGTCGGTAGATTGCAGAATAACATATCTCAGCCAAGCGGCCATAGTACTGGTCATTTAAACAACCAATTACGTGTAACTAATATTTTGGCCACTGTTTTTTTTAGGTTCTTTTGAGTAAAACGTAACATATAGTGTTGCAAAAGATAAAACTGCAAGAATTTCTCTTATTTTTGAAACTTTTTTTTTAATTCTCTATGCACAAAATGTATTATGGCGCACTTATTGCCATAGGCATTCTCTATCGGTCTACCGTAGGAATTAGAATGGTGTAGAAATGAGTCATTAAAATGAAATGAGTAAAAAATCCACTTTTTATTGTATCAAATATTTCATGTTACTAACTGATTACAAAAAGGAATAAGAACTAATAAAATAGAAAAAAAAATACACAAACAAAATATCACTCCGAATGTGTCGAGAATTATAAAGTGTTTTCACCTTAAACTTGATGCTAGTATCTTTTCCCTCACAAGTGAACGAGACAGTCCCAGTCGAGGAGTCCACACTGCAGCCAATAAACATTCCTTGGGAGGCTCCTTTGGCAGTGGCCTCGGCCATCACTTCATTGTAGAGCTCATCAGCTCGGACCATGTAGCAGGATTGACGGTTTACACTAAACAAGCAAGAAATATCTATGTGTGTCATTTGTGTAGATCAGTGATTCCCAGACTATTTTGGGCAAGCGCCCGCCTTTACTAAAATAAACTGATACCTCATACCCCCATAGCCAAATTACTGCACGCTTGTCGACTTGTTGAATTTTTAAAAAGAACAACAGTGATACTTAAGTCATTCTTATAACAAGTTGGCAAACGTAACACAAGTAATACAATATCTTGAAAGTATCAATTAAGATCTTAATTGTTAATGTAAATTAAGGGTTAATTAATAGGAGTCGATTTTTAGACCTCGTCGACTCCTAAAATTAGTTTTCATTTATATCGACCCCTGGGAAATCGATTTCGACCCCAAGGGGTCGATATCGAACCACTTTGGGAATCCATGGTGTAGACCATTTAATAATGTATGTTATGATAATTTTAGAAGAGGGCAAACGAGCAGACATTTCATTTGTTAATGTGGTTATCGTTGGAAGTTTACCTCTCAATAACCCTGTCGTATTCGTCGGTGATAATGACGGAGGACTTGGTGACTTTGCTCTGGTTGAAATCCTTGGAGTGGAGGTGGTATTGTGTTGTCACCCAGCCGATGTACACGTGTGTCGGATCTTGACCGGGGAATATCCTAACAGGTGTAAATATATAATACAGTTAACAGTGTTTTAACGGCTAAGTTACAGTAGCTAATATGATTGTCAAGGTAAGTTAAAAAGCTTACATGTGTTGTGACCTAGCGCGTGGAATATTCATCCCGTATAGATATTATAAACGTCTATTTGCATATTGTACTAGTACCTTACCTTCTCAGATTTCCAATATCTAATGACGTGAACATAGGCTGCACTATTAAAATATGACTTTTAAGCAGTTAAAAGGTGTGAAAGTCTTTTACTTTTACACCTTTTAACTGCTTAAAAGTCATATTTTTATTGTTCGTTGACCAAAAATAATGTAAACTGTGAAGTTTAAACAATAATATCATCACACCTGACACCATAGAAGTACTCATTAATGAGTTTCAGGCACTCTGCGTCGAAGATCTCATTGCCCACCGTTTCGGTCGTGACCGCGGTGAGCGTGCTTGTTGTCATCTGTTTGCGATCTTGAGTAGGTGTCGCCATCTGAAGGACAGTTGTTGACAGTTTTGAAGCATTGGCAATAAGGATTATAGATCAACATTATGACATGTATTTAATGCTCAAAAAGTAGCTTTTAAAAGAAATGATTTTATCTTAGCATTACGTCAAATTTTGTGTAACGTAGAAAAAGTGGAAAGAAGGCGATAAATTATAACCATGCTTGTTATAATTTATCGCTTTTTTTCCTCTTTTTTGTTTGGAGTCAACGCACATTGGGAATAAAATCTTATCCTGGCGGGTCAAAGAAAGAAGGTAAATTCAGGTAAGAAAGAGATGCTAGAGGGCGAGTGAGCTAGTGTAAGAGATGCGTGAGGAAATAAGGCTAAGAAGGCAGTAGCTCGAAAAGCTCGCGAATTACCCTATTTATCCTGTGGTTGGAGGTGCCTCTAGGACAAGCCTTTCATCGGACCGTTATGTCGGCTCTCTTCTTACATTATGTTTTAGTAACAATTAAAGCAGTAACATCATTACATATTTAGGACAGCAGAAACAATACAAATGTCATTATATTATAAACAGGACTACTGAGAAACAAATCAATAATTCGATTCGCACCCAAGAATGATTATGATCATTTGTTCTGATATATGGGTGTGATTTTTCTATGATATGTATGTGTGTAACATACTTACTTATGTATGTTTATCAGGAGTCTGGTTACCGTAGTACATACTCTGTCATGTTTAACGTAGGTAGACCTGTATTTTAGTCTTCTCAGGGTTAATATTTTCGTTATTTTATTTATTGAATTAGTAGAAAACGCCGACAATGCTATGTTAGTTTTACATAACAAGTATATGGGTGCCAGCACTTACATTCAGCCCAACTTGGCTTCCATACAAGTTAGGTCGGCTGGCGCGTGGTTGCATGCCGTTATACCTTTGATTCGCCTTTATGAGATAAAAAATATTAAATAACAATGAAGTTCTCGAAGAAAACAAACCAGAAATGAGATGGACTCGACTACTATTTATAACATATAATGGGATACTTTGAACAGCGATCGATATGATCGGTTTCAAACAACGTATTTATTAACCTTGCCGTAACATTTTAAAGATCTATGTGCATTTCTTACAGTATTTGTTTTAAATGTAATTGCGCAATGTATTACGAATACTTCTTTTAAGGTTCGGTATTGAATACGTATATGTTAGTAAGAATTAAAGCTTCTCTAGGAAATAGAATGAGGTCTGTGCCTATGATTTCGATCCATATTTTCGATCTGAAATATTGAAATTTGAGATGAAGAGAACGTATTTGTGGATTAAGAATTTTAAAAATCTCGATAAATCTTATTAGTGATTTGTTTTTCATAAAGGAATAAACATAAAAAATCAAGGTTGGTATTCAGAAATAGGAAATTTGTTTAAGTAGTTTTCTAACTAGTGGCATTGATGATGGTCAATATTTTCATTAGGAACTCTGTAAAATAAGAATAATAAAAATTTACTAAATAAAGTCTTAAAGTCCCTTTGGACAGACAGCTAAATTATTTTAAATTTTTTGTTTGTGAATAAAAAAACGGAATGTTTATCGATAAAACAAAAGAAAAGAATAAAACAAAAAACGTATGCTCAACAAAACTGAATTTAAACAATGAAATATAAAACTTATGTCTTAATGCTAAGGTTGAACATACCTGTGAGACCTTGATCTGTGGGTGAGGTCTTCTGTGGCCTCGTTCAGGCGATACTTCGGTATCACTGAACGGATCTGGCGTTTTGGATTTGCGAGTTTTAGCACGATCTCCGCTTTCAGTGCGTTTGCTTCTAAAGAACCTAGGGCGACAAAATTATTATTTTATAGAAACAGTACCAACTGTACCATACTAAAAGGAGTAATATCAGACAGCAGTTTTTGTATGACTAGGTGCTGCTTTTGGGGTAAGTGGTTATTAGGCCGGGGTGGCGGCAAGCGCGTCGCGAAGCGCGCTCGCTTCCAGGGAGCACCGGGAACATGGGGTTCCCACACGGGGGGGGGGGGTCGTCTACTCGTCTGTAGATGACCCGAGGTATGTCGGGGTACCAGGGACTTCCTTTCTAGGGCATACCTGGTTCCCCTGCTATTAGTACCCGAGACGGCGTGCGGTTTTAGTCGGTTCGAGTCCGACATGCCACCGACAGGTGGTATCCGAGGGGATTTCCGCACGGAAAAAAAAAAAAAAGGGTAAGTGGTTATCAGACATTATAAATATGTATAATGTCAATGATGCCTAGATTTCGTATACTTTCTACGAGTAGGTTCCTTCCACGGTTCAAGTTATCTGAAGTATTTGGAACATAGTAAAATTTCAGAACGGAACTCGAGCCTGTGACACCAGTTAGCCGGATTTACTCTGATTAGTCCGTGTTGTGACGGATTACGGATACAGAGTATCACCACCCCTATTTATCCCGTAGGTGTAAGAACCGACTAAGGGAGCAAAATATGCAGGACAAGAGCACTGCCATGAAAAGGAAAAATTGAAACAAACCCTATGCCAACCAGTCTGGCCAGCGTGGTAGAGTAGGCCAAAACCCTCTTGCCAAGGATGGGTCTATGTTCATCTGTTAGATCATATTGAAATATATGCTTGGATCAAAAGCTATGTGCATAGTCAACTTACTTGAAAGGCGACCTTCCCCGTTTGTCTTTCTTATCATCAGGTGATAAGGTTTGGTTTCCAAGATCATAATGTGACATTTCAGCTTCGCTAGTTGTCCGATGCATACCGTTTACTTGGCCTGAACAAAAGGAATAGCATTAGCAATACGAAAAATAATTAATTACTCAAAATGATAATCTAAATACGTTCCACAACATCCATATACTAGGGGTCGACTTTTTTCGTTTCTTGAACTTACTGTGTAGTGAAATTTATGCTCTCGTAAGTTCACAAAATATAATTTTTGATTTGATTATCTTTCATTAAGTTGTTGTTATTTTATACAAGACAAGAATTATTTTTTACCTAGCAAGTTAATCGGTTCACAAAAACTACCTGTTAAATGGAAACTAAGTTTTGCAATATTTCAAAAATTAAGTATTTGTCTAGGTTTCTTGCCTTGTTTTCATATACCATAAGTATCGTGAAAAGAAAGAATAGATAATATTGGTCAAGAATAGAAAGCATTTAACTATTATTATTGGATCTTTTAATTTTAAGCATAATTTTAAGCATTTATTTGTGTTAAATTGTCTTATTGTTTTATTTTAGATAGCTTATCAACGTTTTTTTTTTCTATCTTTCTATTTTGTTAAAATTGTGAGTGCATGAGCTCTAAACCATATTGTAAATACGTTTGTCTGGGACCCCACGATACAGGCTTGCCTAGTGTGGGTAAAATATTTATCTGATAAGATCTGCTACTCGTACACTAATTTTATGTCTTGTTAAGCACTTTTGTATTTTATTTTTTCTTTTCTTTTGTCTCTACTTTTAATTTTTGTTTAATTCATTTATTTATATAACTTAGTGTAAGTACAAACAGATCCGAAGAGAGTCATATGTTTATTTATAATTCAGAGAGTTCTTTGTTTTAATTACTGTGTGTGAAGATAGATTCACTACAGTATCGGCTGGCGTCACAAAGTGTTTTCATGCAGGCTTATGCTTCTATATATACATTTTATATACAAAAGAAGAGTTAATTGCCATGAAAGTGTGCAGAAAACCATCCTGGGTGTATTAACCTGGTTGCAAATTGTAATTTTGTATAGTAACACCTCTGGTTATGGAGCCCTTCCGCGGCGGTCGTGAAGGCAGTCTCTTAGACTTGGAACTGCTAACCACCTCATCAGGAACTTCTTCGTACGTCATACCTAAAGGTGCGGGGAGATACAAGGGTGAAAAGCATTGGTGTCAGGGTGAGCTGTATGCAATATGCGACTGTATTCTTTGCAAGATAAGGTTACTTTTGAATAACTGAAGGAACTGTACCTAAGTTTAAACAGCCTTAAAGTAAAGTTCGACATATTGCATACATACTTGGACAATGGGTCATAAGTGCAAAATAATATATGCAATTACTTTAAGGTACTAAAAGCTAAAAAAAAGTATAGCAGGGATTTTTTCTAGCTGTTTTAGAATATTAAAACGGACGAATAAAGGACAATTCCAGCAAAACTTTTGACATAGAGGTAGTAATGTAAGTTTCACTCTGTTTATCTCATACGGATATAATCAATAGATAAGGCTTTTAATATGTTTTAATTATTCAGATGAAAACTCAAAAGAAATGCTATAAAAGATAAAAATAAATAATTAATATTCAATTTATTTAAATTATTAACGACTATGAGCAAAATTTTAGTTAAATTTGTCCATAGACGTTACAAATATTTATATTTATAAAAAATAAAACGGATATAGGTACAAATATATAACACATTTAAAATATATTCAGAATGCGAATTGTATTATTACTTTAATAACTTATAAATTAGTCAACGTTCGATTTTAGGGGCAATATTTTACAATGACCTAACATTATAATAATTTCATGTTATTTTTTATATTTATTTATCTTTGTACATTTATTTTACAGTGACCATGAATATAAACGGGGATTGGGGATTGATTCACAATATATCAGGTCTGAAAGTCCTTTCCCCAAGTTGTGTCACGATTCATGATCCATTACAAACCTTAATTTTAAGCAGGAAGAGGCCACGCCATGAGTGAGGCGTGAGTACCACCAGGCTGCCATATCATGAATCATCCCTAATATAGCATTTGATTGATATTGTTCGTTGGTTCACCTACAAAGGTGCTATTGTATTGAGTGTGTGGAACCAAAGGCATGTCCCACTTTTAGTAAGATTTTTATAGTGTCATACAATACAATACATAACAGGGATTATAAAATCTAAAAAATATCCTATTCAGTTAGCAATTATTATTTAATTAGAAATACGTAACTTTGAACTAAACAAATGTAAACCTGTCAGAAACATATGGTAACAAGTGTATTGAATAGTCAAACCAAACCAGATTATATGTGTCAACTAATAGATGTTATAGTCGTATACCTTTGATATCGTTCATTGTGAAACCACTCCTCATGATCTGGTCGATGTGTGCTGGCATCTGAGCTTCAACAGCTTCCTTCATTAGCATTTGCTGGCGTTCTTTGATTTCTACCCAGCGCCGAGCTTTTTCTGCCTCACTAGGGTGGAAATTAAAATGTATTTGGTACATTATATATTATACCTCTCTTTTCTTTTAGTTTTTCTCCTATATATAACTTAACTATATAATTATATCAATTCTAACTCTTAGATACTGCACTGAATATAGTGGTTTGGCCACCTTTTAGCATTATAATAATATAAAAACGTGGTGATTGAGTAAATCATACAATACACTAGTGTTAGAAATTATGTAAGTAATTCCTACTAAAATTATAATATTAGTAAAAGTTTGTATAGTTGTTCACGCAAAAACGGGTAAATAACTTTGAATATCAGTGTGCATTTCTTTTCTAAATTTAATTAACACTATGATTACTTTTCATTAAGAAAAATATTTCCAATGGAATCGAATAAATTATGATAATTATTACTCACTCAATAAATTCCGAATGGCAAATAACAGGTAAAGAAAGTCGCAAGAACTCCCAGTTAGCCTTCTCCATTGTTTCGAACGTGTTGTGGGAAATCTTAAGGCATGGTGGTGTATCTGCAGGAAAAGATTACATCTAATATATAAAATTCTCGTGTCAAGGTGTCAGAAGTTGAACTCCACCGAAACGGCTCTACCGATTTTCGTGAAATTTTGTGTGCATATCGAGTAGGTCTGAGAATCGGCCAACATCTATTTTTCATACATATGAATAATGTCATTTGAAATAATGTATGTGGCAAAACAACGTTTGCTGGGTCAGCTAGTAAATATATACTCTCACTCTATCTCTAGGTAATCACTGCACGGAGTGCGTTGTGGTTTAAGCGGTCGCCACGCCGCTTTCTACAGCGCGAGTGTTGTGGGTTTGATCCCCACACTTGACACCACTTTGCGTATTCCACAAATTGTTGTTCGGAGTCTGGGTGTTCTTTGTGTCCGTTTCATCTATGTTTGTAAAGTTCCCTTGCCACAAAGGATATATATTCCTAATGCGGAGGCGGTTTGAATAAAACTCTATTCACGTATTGATAACTAACTATTTTCGTGTGATTATTTGTTATTTCGTGTTTCTAATTTAAAAAATGACGAACTTGTAGTCCAAACGGCTCTGCGTTGACGAATCACTCAATCAGGGCAAGTAATTTTATATGTATAGATAATGACAATAATGCATTCATACTAATATTATAAATGCAAAAGTGTGTCTGTCGGTCTGTCTATCTGTCTGTCTGTTACCTCTTCACGCTTAAACCGCTGAACCAAATTAGATGAAATTGTGTATTGAGGTAGTTTGAGTCCCGGGAAAGGACATAGGATAGTTTTTATTCCAGAAATCATCCTTAAGGGGGTGAAAATTTGTATGGGAAATCAATAACCACTGAACCAATTCAGATAAAGTTTAACCGACATACACGCAGGTGGAGCCGCGGGCAAAAGCTAGTAATCAATAATGCATAATTCTGCAATTTATTAATCACCCCATTTTTGAGGGAAATAAATCTAAGCTGGCAACACTATTGTTTGCATATTGACGTAAAAGATTATCAGATGTGTCTTGTTAGCTAAATTTAACAGGTAATCTTATAATTAGATAGAATCATTTAGACTGCACGGATGGCGTAGTGGTTTAAGCGGTCGCCACGCCGCCTCCTACTGCGCCGAGTGTTGTGGGTTCAAACCCCACATGGGACGACACTTTGTGTGATCCACAAATTGTTGTTCTAAGCCTGGGTGTTCTTTGTTTCATGTATGTTTGTAAAGTCCCCCGCGACACAGGAATGTATTCCTAATGCGGGAGTTGTCTTTTTAAAGAAAACAAAAATAAAGAAAAAACAATCTTACCGGAACCAGCTGGTATCCTCGTGACGTCGATCCTAGTATCAATCATCTCGTCTGTGTTTTCGAAGATCGGCTGATCTTTGGTGTACCAGTGTGTGACGTCACGCTTCATGTTCCTGTCAACGGATAATATTTGTTTGGATACGTTCTTATTGAATAAATTGAATGTTGAATTCGTTCTTTACCAATCACATATGTAATCCATTTTTAACAGACTTCACTAATTAAGTAGCTACATTAAATTAATACATTTGTGGCGTTGAACATCAATACGCGTATTGCATGTCACTACGCCTGTGGCTAATGTAACATCACTCTCCGACGTGATTACGTAGTTCAGCAGTACTACGTCGTCACGGTAGCAACCGGGGACGCTCTCTTATCCCGACGGTAAAAAAATGGTTGTGAACACAAATACACGGCTCGTCCGTATATTGTGGTTAATAAGTGAATATCAGTATTGATGTCTGTCAATTCGCATTCGTGAACAATTACAATTGTAAAGGACAGATATAAGACCAAGTGTTTTTCTTTTGGACCTTAACAAACCAAACATTTAATTATGTAAACTGAATTTTGGCAGTAAATTAAAGTTTTTTAATAAAATAATGGACGAGGTTTATGTTTTGACGGATACTGATGATGAAACATATCCAAGAGAAACTAATTCTAATGTAATCAAAAACAATACTATAATTTTGCATCCTTAAGCTCATCTGGTAATGATTCCGACTAGGACCATCTAGCAGATAACATTCGCGGCTCCCAAGTCGTCAGAGCACAGTACCAGTAGTGAGGCGAACCGTCAGACGATAACATGCTTTATTTAGACATTTATACTATTTCTGAAATTCTCCCAAGCGTTTGTTATACTCTAGGTGTACTGTAGGTTTTGCAAACCGTTTCGCTTTAGCAATACACAATGCGGTCGACTGAAACTGTAGATCTCAATGCTATCCGAGACTACATCCTGCAGTTCGTCTCGGACCTTTCAGACGTTGCTCTGAAACCGACGACCTTGTACTAGCAAGGTAAATATGTATGTTCCTAATTACTTACACACAAAACGGTTCGTATCCCTCCTGTAGACCACATGTGGTGAAGTACTTCAGTGAGTTCACATCTTGGCCATATGTTAACCTCAAAAAAAGAGTAAATACACATGTTATTTTAGACCCATAAAAGTACTTAATATTTATTGAAACGGGTCTCAGCCGGTCTTTTTCAGGCAGGCAATTGTTTAATTACGTAATTTTACAAAAATAGTTACTATTGTCTACTTGAAATGCATCAAGGATGGAGTAAAGGTCGGGTTGCCTCCGACACTCAAACTAGGTGTGAACCTGTGTTTTGAGTCATCAGTGGTTTCTCGCTCTGGTTCAGTGTTCATAGGTACACATTTATACACACACACACACACACACACGCATAGGTTCATAGTTTGCATTAAAGTAAAAAAACGTGAAATATTTCAACATGAATTATAAATTTATCGCAAATATATTATCCATATTGACCCGTCATGACAGAGGAAGTTCAAACATCTTTTCATCAACAGCCTCTAATAGTTCACTACTGGAAATAGGCCTCTCCTTAGAAAAGGGGTCTACACCACGCTGGCCAAACGGGTTGGTATAGGGTTTGTTTCAAGTTTTCCTTCTCTTTGCGGTGCTGTTGTTCTGCGTAGTTTGCTCCCTTAGTAGGCTGATTTATGTTACAAATAAGTCGATAGAATTAGAATTAAGTAAAAACTTCAACGATTTCTTTGATAACAATTAGATACCTGCTTTGCTTTCTGATTATATGTAGTTGTTTCGCCCTATGTTAGTTTGAGACACTTTAGCGGATAAACGCCTACTACAATCTTCGTATAAGAGAACTATGTCAAGTAAATCAGAAACTTACCTAGCCTTTTGTCCCACTCCCAAAGTGCAAGCAGGAACAAAATTGTCTCCTTGGACGTCAGCAAACGTGGTCTCTCCTCCAAGGGCATCCATTAGGAGTTCACCGTTTAGAGAGAAACCTAGTGCATAGATAATTGTGTGAGATATTGCTCCAAGATGTAAAGATAGTACAGAGCTTCAGGATTAGAGGATTCAATTATCACAAAATAATTAGCCTGCTACAGAAGGACTGAAAATATACCATAGCATAGAACAGCCAGGAAAAACATACTCTTGTCTTTCTATATTAATGATTTTTTTACTTTAGATACGAATAATTTTTATAATAATAATAGAATATTATAAATTAACCAGAAATCAAATTTGCAAATATGTCTCTCATTAAAAAACATCTAAACAAACATCTTAACAGGTATATGTGTTATAAAACCAGAAATCGATAGTATTGTTTGACTAACGATTTCTAGTTTTAAGAAAAATCTAAAAATACTTACTGAAATAAACAAGTTAGGTAATAATTTTATGAACAGCATACATATATGGTTGCAAACAAGCATATTATTGATGATTGATTAGAGACAGGATAATTTGGGAATTAGTAGTGAAATGACGCAATTTCTTGCTTAGTTAATCTAGCAGAGTTAATTTGAAACTTTAATTGCTGTTTTAAGATATACAGCGTTTTCTATTATATTGACTTAAGTCATATGATAAGAGACATACAATACGTTGTGAACATATTCTAGAACAGTTCATTTTCAAATAAAAACGATTGGTACGTGAGACTATACAAGTCACACGTATAGATAGACCTGTATAGATTTATTTATCGTAGGTTAATGTACCTATATATATATATATATTATTTATATATATTATATGTATATTTTTGACCTAAAACCAATGATTCCAATAACTAAATTCATGAATCTTAATGAAAACAATATTACGGATAATCTACGGATATTTAGGCTCAGGCAGCAAGCGCTGTTTTGGAAGTGCAGGTTTCGTTTCGAGGCTCATATTTTTTAAATCCGAATTATTGTATTAAGTTAAAACACAATCAAATTATGTTAAATACTTTAGAACGAATGTCGTCCTAAAGTATTTAAGACTGATTTTTAATCATCACGAACATCACAACATCACGAATATTTTTAAACTCATTTTAGGTAACGAAATAAAACATTTTGTATTTGTATTTTTTATTGATTGTAAATGAAATAATAAGAAGTTAATGTAATGGTTATATTTGCAATAAAATCTAGATCAGTTATTTTTCACAATTTTATTCTACCGAAAAACAAGTTAGCTACCTACCGTATTAAGATTATAAGCTGCTTTTGGTCGACTGATACTTAAAATTTCAATACTAACAGTAGCAATATTTGAATTAAATATGTAACAAACATTAATGTAAACATCAATGTAAGTATTGTATGATACAAAGCCCTACATTTTCTGTGTCAAAACGCAGCCGTATAACACGAATTATACAACAAAAGGCTTTATGTCCAGCGGTTGTATGCGTTTCTTACATGTATTTTTTATAACTAAATTAATCTTTTCATTTCTTACTCTTAACCACTGATGGATTACTCAACTTAACTAGTCTACATAGCTTTAAATGTTAGAAACTGCAAAGAGGTCGTATGATGGATATAGACTTATTCCTACTGTTCTACTTATAGGATACTTTACATAGCACAGAACAGTGAATAAACATTAGAAGTGCGATCAACGGTAAATCAGAAGAGTTAAGTAGTTAGTAATCTCAAGCATTTTTATCTTCTATGTAATAAACAATTCAATAATAGGCTTTCTGACACAATCCACGCTTTATTGCGGGTTTAAATTTGTTAATATTAAGTCTTGAATATTATTTGGGATTTCATTATAAAATCGGACACATTGACCTCGAAACGACTAGTTTGTCTTTTGGAGCCTAGAGGCAGGTACTACAAGTTTATTTCTATTTCTGGTATTTATAGAATGTACATCACTTTTTTTCAAAAAGCTATCCTTGTTTTTATGAATATATATTGCATTTTCATATACTCGTATATATTGACATGACACTGTCATGTATATTTCTGTTTCAATGAAAAACAATTGCCCAAATTATAAAATGCTCGAATCACTCTCTTTTGCAGTACAAAAATAGTTTGAATGTCCGCAGCATTCTACCACAGTAGAATAATGTACGACACGACATTATGCTATAAAATAAATGAAGTAAACAAGACTGCTGTATCAACATCATTCAACACTCGGACTTTTCTCATTGCGTATGCTGCTGAGCTGAGTCTACTCGATTATTTATGGCCCCGCTGTAGCTTAGAATCTAGTATTATACTTAAAAATGTCGTCTCTTTAGTCGCACATTACTATTCATGAACATTTTTGTGTTAAATAATACTACTTTTGTATACAAAATATATTGTATTTTCAATACTATAAAACAGAATTAAATAATGTGATTGAAATCTAATGTATTTAAATTATTTATAATTCATAAAGTCATTATTGAAAAATTGCCGTTTTGTGTCTTTTTGTACATTGTACTTTCTCAAGTTAAAATGTAAATAGTTGGCACTCAAATTTGATACGCAATGTATCATTGTTTTAATAGATTAAAATATAACGGTTTTCTATTTTGTATTACATAATACTTTGTAATTTTTTGTCAATATTTACTTAAAAATAAAAGTTTTTAGACCAACCGATGATATAATTGCCTTTGGACAAATTCCAACCCTGGCTTTGTTTTTGACACGCAATTATCGCGCACCTCGGCATAGCTATATTTTTTTTATGAAGCTGCGTTCCCGGTGAAAGTTATAAGCGAGTACGAATGTATTCAAAGATTATGCACGTTTGCTCGTAACTCCGCGCGCCTGCCCCGCCTACATCGCATTTCTAGTTTATTCACTGTTCTGTGGTACATATATCTATAAGTATTAAATTTGTTGTATTAAAATTGAAATGATGCAATGAAATAATTAATCCTGATTTTACTTTTCAATATTAAAATGACAGTGATTCTGGGCAAGAGTTTAAGGTGGTAATGAATCTATTCACTGTTTAAATTAGTTTGCATGTGTGTATGTATATCAAGAAGCGATGCGGTGCCTACTAATTTGGAATAAAAAGCGTTTAGCATTGAAGCATTCAGATAGAAAATTAGCTGATATTTGTTCATGGCAGGAACATTTTTATAAAGTAACATATATTTACACAGGTCTTAGAACGGTTTAAAAAAACGGTAAGGAGAGCACAAATAACATAATGTATATAATATTTACGGGTTCCATGAGCTGGGGGAAAAACAGTTATCTATTAAGCAGGCATAAGGTTAATATTTCAACGAGGTTAAATTTAAGAGAATGTGCACTATGTTTGCCATTAGATTTTGAGTAATGGATGGCTTTGTAAAATCTGTTAGGCACGCCTCTGGATGCATAACGTGTATACGATTGCTGCCATTTGCCATTTACCAAGTAAACAACGATAGGTACCACTACTTTTGAACCACATTATTAGGTCCTATGTTTATGAAATAACAATTTACAAAACGAATGACAGACTTCTATAAGCGGTACATTATATTACTACATATTTTTTTTCACTTCAAGAAAGATTTCAACTGAGCATCTTTTCATGGCTAACAATATCCTCCCCAAACAATAAATTCTTTACAATTTCTTTATATACCACTTTGGAAATGATCTGTTTCTTTGCTCAATAATTACTTAGCGACTCTCAAAATTAAATAGCTCTAAACTAAACTATAAACAAACTAAATTATGCATTAAAAATATTTACAGAAAACAAAAAATCTATAAATAAAAATGTTCCTGCCATGGTCGTGGCGAGTACCAAAATACATCAATTTTGATATTTACTTATCGTCTTATCAATGAGATCTAGGAACACTCCAACAACATCACCGACTGCCCATTGCTTGCCGAAAGACTCTGTGCTACCGCTGAATACCTTTTCCTCCTTGAAAGTTGGGAAAAATTGTTTTTTACCTTCTTACGAACGACGAAGAGTTCATATTTTAGGTAACTATTTCTCTTAATCTTGGAGAAGTTACTCGTTAAGTGTTTCTAATAATTTTCACTTTTTTTATTCTCGAACATATCTAACTTAGTATAGTCATATATATTATAATTGCATTATAATCATACTTACTAACGAGTTTGTGAAATTAAAATGACTCATAGAAATGAAATGTATGAAATTAATATTATTTAATTGAAGAAGTAGTAAACTAGCCTTGGTATCATTAATCGCAGTGAAAGTGTTCACACGAGCCATTACTTATTTTTATAGTGGCTTAGCAGAATACCCAGCTTTTGTCTAGGGTGGACGGCTTTCATTGGAAATAAGAAGTTTGATTCAAGACATTTCTTAAATGCCTGAGGATATTAGCTTTCCTCCTCCACATTATCATGTGTGTCAACAGGAAGGTGTTTGACTAAGTCAGTGCTTCTCAGTATCATTCTAAGTTGTTACTCTTTTTTAGACAACAATCCAAGGCTGACAACGTCAATTTTTAATAATTATTTACAGTCATATATGCGCTTAACGCTTTCTATTGAAGTAATTCTGTGGGCGATGAAAAACTTGTCAGTGTTGTTTTAACGTTGTTTCAAATGAAACCTAACCTTATTGTAAACACAAATTAGGATGGTTTTTGTAATTGATTATAAATCAACTAAACAAATATTTGTTGTGTACGTACGTATCGCATATGAGGTACACAAAAGCATAGTATAATATTATATACATTAATATTAAAAGATATGAATCAGTACATAAATATGGGAGAACACGTCATTCCACAGAGGACCAGAGAGCACAGGAGGGTATTACAGAGTTATCTTACAGAAAGTTACTACCAATTAACCACATCGTTACAGGTGATTACCTCACACTAGTTGCGTTACTCTGATTTAGTCTTAAATGACTTCAATTATATAGAAATTTTATGTTGACTGATTGGTATTTTATGTTTTTCGAACCTACAGTCTACCCACAGTCTATGAGTGTTAAGATTGTAACATAATGACTATGTAGTTGGTTATGATAAGACTAGGAAGTGTATACCTAGTGTATGAATACAGAAATCATTTTAGCCGAGAAGTTTAACTGTCGTATGTTAAGAAGTTGTATAAGAATATGTAATTTAATACAATTTCATAGATATCATTAATGGCATCCCGGGCAGCCAATCCCCGTAATGTAATGTCGAAAAATATATTGTTTAAAGAAAAAAATATAGAATTATAAAGTGAAAGCGATTATAAGTCTAGTAAATTCTCGAAAAAGAAATCTTAATCAGTCAGAATTTGTTTGAAAAGAGAGGTTTTTAGCATTTATTTAACGATTGCAACGTGTAAGCTATCCCAAACGTAGTTTCCCAATTATATAAATCTGTATTAATACACAAACTAAATCAGAGTATCGCACAGAGTGTCCCCTAGGTCGTCCGCGCCAACTCACTAATGGTCTGATCGAGCACGTCGAGGAAGCACCCCACAATGTCGCCCACTTTGAGCTGCAGCCCGAATGTGTCGCTCGAACCGCCGTGCACTTTTTGTGACTACGGCCACAATTACACAGATATATATATATAAACTATAATTCTTTACTTTAAAGTGAATTCAGTCGATATAGGTTTAACGTCAAATTTAGAAGGCTGTAAGATTAGAAGAGATGTTTAACTAAGCACAACTATTCCATAAGAATGTAGAAAAAATTAGGTCCGATACGTGTTGATAAACTGCAAAGCTTTTGGAAATACACGTTCATTCGAGTAGGTCAATTTTGTTCCATAGATTCAAATACTTTAATCTTACAATCTCCCACCCTATCAACGTATGTAAGCTATAATATTTTTTACATCTGGAGCATTATGAGCTTCATAGAACTTACATTGTATCCGTCGAACGCCCAAGAGTTTTCATCTTGGCCAAGCATCATACCCGGGGGCATATCGGCGTGTGCCCAACCGACCTGTAACCATATACATTATTACTTTTTAAAAGAAGGATACTAAATGGTTAATCCTACTAATTGTTATATCCTAAACAATATGATTATTTATTTAAGTGAGTTTGTTTGTTATGTCTTCACGTCTTAATAACTCAAACAATTGTCATTAATTTATGCATGTACTTTTTCAGAAGTACAGATACGGTTATACGGTACGTTTTATTTTAATAAAATTTACTCTTTAGAACCGCAAACGGAAGCTAGTGAAATGCTATATATTCATTTAATAGTCAATGAGAGTCGAAAACATATATATTTTTTCCTTTAATGATAGTCGTGAAAGAAAATCTCTTACCCTCATAGGTCCAGCCGTGAGTATTTCAAACTCGAAGTACCATTTACCGGAGCCAACCGCGTAGTTCTTCTCCGCTCTGTACGTCCTAAAATCAGCTTGTTTTTGTTTCGAAGCTTCGGCTAAAAGCGCTGAAAAAAATAATAATAATTAAAATTATTAATTAAATAATTAAAATATTAGGCTAAATCGGCAAAATAAAAAAGATTAAATTTCAGGCAAATTTAAAAGATATTATTAAGAAAAAAGTAGTTTTTAATAGTCCACTGCTGGACATAGGCCTGTCCTTAGAAAGGAGGTTTTGGCCTGCCATACCACGCTGGCCAGACGGTATAGGGTTTGTGTCAAATTTTCCTTCTCGTTACAGTGCTGTTGTCCTCCCTTAATCGGCTCTCACGACACCCACGGGGCGAATAGGGGTAGTGACACTCCGTATTCTTAATCCGCCACCACACGGAGATAAATTGCGCCAAACTCAAATACATATATTTGGAAAAAGAAGGCAAAAAGATGACGAGATCATGATGACTAGTACTACTCTGCATGTATTCGAGCATATAACTGTTGAGTATCGATATCTTATAATCAATATTATTGTAAGTGACCTTACACTCAAACATTACTTGTTTAATTGACCAACTATGTTTAAAACTCCCAAAAGTGACTTCTGTAAGCCAGGAGTGCAGTGTTAAATCAAAATAAAAGAACAACAGTCGACAAGCCGTTGGAAGGTTAACCATTTGCCAACTCAAAGTGATTGAATGATGATGAAAAATTATGGGTATACCTTCATGCTGTTCTCCAGTGGGTGGATCCAAGTTGTATCCGTAGACAAGAAGAGTTCTTACTGTCTCCGAAGCAGTGTCTCTGTTGGCTTTCTTGATTGCATCGTCCACTTTGGGGTATGGTACCAGGTGAGGAGAACGGTGCATATCCGGGTCCTGGTAGATTAAATGATGAATTAGAATGTGATATAATGAAGAATTTACGATAAATTCTAGGTATAATATATCGTCAAAAAGGTGCCTGATATAGTTTTGACTCAACAACATTATTGAAATGGCGTGGGTGTTCGTAAGTTCACGTAGGACAAGCATTTCGCTTAGCTGTCAGCGTTAACGACGATAGTCGCATCTAATCTACTACTTAGTATTAAATCGTTGTATTTAAGAGAAAGAAAAGTAAATATATACAGCTCTCGGAGCCGACAAACATTGCCTTGTCCTAATGACATAACATTGTCGCTTAGGTATATAAGAATATATAAAGAACCCGAATGCAGTGAATCCTATCAGGTTGAATTATAAATCCTAACTAGGTACTTTACTTAACACTCAAAATCAATCATTGCAATTATTTATCACTTGTTACAATGTGTGCCGCGATACAAGCCACGAGCTTGAGCTTAAAAAAAAAACTAAATTTTGAAATTAAAACACAAATCACTACCTGAAACTATATAGGGATTTGTGTATTTATGGACCTCTGTATGTATACATATATTTAAGTGTGTTAGTAGTATGTATACTGTAAATGTATGTAGTAAAGACATTTATTTAATTATTCAATATTTTGAATATATTGTAATAGAACATCGCAGGCTAACCTAATTTCACAATATCCGTTTAAAGGTTGTCTATAAGAGATCGCCGTGAGCGATAAGACCGCCTATTGTTATACCGAAATGTATATTTATAATATCTGTACAAATAATACAGTAGCGGTGTACAATAAAGTGATAAAATAAATGAATGAAAAATAAAATCATTAAAATCGGCCTATTTCTATAATCCATAGTATTTAGTCTGATGATTATTATCTAAGTTAATATGCATTTATACAATTTTATTTTTAAACTACAAAAAATATAACACAGTACAAATTTGTAAATGTAATATACACATAAATTATTGAATGCTTCATCTTCTTGGTGGCATATAACAGTGAAATCTTGCTGTGACCCTCACACCTAATAGTTTTTTAGTACGTACTAAGTGTGAGGGTCGCAGCAGACATCACTGAACATGTTTAGCGATGTCTTCTTAAACTGCAAGTCTGTGGTTTGTATTACACACAAATACTTAAATAGAAAATTTATTTATGAAATGACGTTCTGACGTTTTATTAGCAGAAAATTTGTCCTAAGCAAATTATTCTGTAATATTTATTGCAAAACTCAAAATAAAACACTGGATTAGATCTTCTTTGTGTATGAAGTATATTTTATAGGCAATTTTGAGGTATAAGTGGCCGTTGTAATAGTATTCAGTTTCTACAAGCTACTAATTATGTTTATAGGTAAGGTATACACGTCAAACGTAATACTTGGTCAGGTTTACATGTGTGTGTTAGGTACTCCGGGAATATATCTCTTTTTTTAGATAACTCTCGCACTAGGAATACATACTGTGTCGCGGGGGACGTTACAAACACTCACGAATCAGGCACAAAGAGCACCCAGACTCAGAACAACAATTTGTAGATCTCACAAAGTGTTGTCCCATTGGGGATCGAATCAACAACACTTAGCGCAGTAGGAAGCGGCGAGGTGACCGCTTAAGCCATTATGCCCGTGCGGTCATATTTTACGTTTATAAGTGTGTGAATTGTGAATTAGAATATAATAAACTTTATTGTAAACCAGTTCAGTACATCAGACATACAATACTTACTAGTCTTTTCACAAATATATTTAAAAATTATAATGTAATTTCAAAACTATTCTGTGTTATAAGTTTCAATTTCTCTAGCAATATTTCAGTAAAATCACAGGCACTTCGTACTACTGACCAGGTATTTCGTTTGACGAGTGTATACAATATATATAAATATACTCATTGGCATATTAAATAACAATAACACAAGAGGCTAATTATTAAAACCAATAGGTATATACATATGCCTATTATAATTGAAACCTATAAATATTTGATTCTTCATTTTTATTTTAATAATTAAAACCATTTATTAAAAAAAAACATGTTATATTTATTATCATAACATATAGCCTGGCCATGTCGTGGCGACGCGTTGCCACGCCAACAGCCGGTCTAACCCTTCGCATTAGACGCTCTACACCAAGAGTCAGTGCGATCTACAAGGTTATTTATACATACCTCATTAAGTCCATAAGTCCATCCCTGCTGTATCCTCTCTCTTGCCCAGAGATTGTGGGTGTTTTCTGCCAACTGGTCGACTAATTCGTCCATTTTCGGTGTCAGGGTGACAGCACTCAAATCCAATGGTGCTGGCTTATAGCCATTCGACTGAGGATTGTAAAGAAATACTGTTTAACTAAATTGTTTACAATAATATTTAACAAAGAAGTTTGATCTGTTAACTTAGGGATATTATTTACAGAAATAATTGACTTGTAAAAAACATCGCCGACTTCAATGTGCCTACAAAATAGTGACGCATCTATCAAGCCCCGCACCCTGACCAATCAGCTTCCAAGCTGTCGTAGGAAACGATAATTTCTTGGAATCTGATTGGTCACCCTTGAGGGTGTGTCGAATGGGACCAAAAGGTAAGTGTAGTATTTTTTTAATCGGTTCATAAATGACAGAATTCTGACCTCAAAACCAAACGAAATATGTTACCTAACATACAAAAAAATACAACCATTTCTCATTTACATCTGTACTCATTAACATAAATAAGAATTTACAATAGATACTTTACCTGCATAAATGGCTCGTTCGGTAGACGCACGTTACGTATACGGGCCGGGGGCTTATCCAAACTTATGTAGTAACCAAGAGCCAGGATCGTTCTGAAAAAAAATATCTTGTTATAAATGTAAAAATGCTTGTTCGGATTTAGACGTCAACATAGTACAGCATCATAAATATGATATTTTCTTTAAATTGCATCATCATTATTTTATTACGTAAAAAAGTAAATAAGTATTATATCAGTTAATACAGCTTTTATGGTACAAGCTCTACTTAGTTTGAAACCAGATGGCGTTGGGTCCGATGTCCAAAAATTATTATTACTATCGCTGGACATTGGCTTCCCTCAATGACGTCCAAGAAGACTGGTTAGAAGCGGCCTGCATACATTTTTTTTCCTTGATTTTTTTAATAGACAATATAATAATAATGATAATATAATAAGCTTTTTGTGAGAAAGTTGTTTATAGTGGCAGTGATTGTACTTGTAGTTTCAATTTTTTTGCTTTTGAGGTGTTAAGATTAATTCAATATGTTCTTCGAATAAAGCACTTACTTAAGTGTTTGTACAGCTAGTTGAATGTCGTATCGCTTTTCAGCGGCAGGCAAGCGCTCGAACGGGACAAGGCAGGGATGTATTTTGTGTAGGTCGTCTCTTTGGTCTCCGTACATCCAACCTGCTTCAATCTGGAAAGTTAAAGAAAAAAAGATAATTTATTCGTAACGTAATTTAGGCGTAACTATTTGCAAATGCATATATTACTTCGGATTACATTTGGGTCAGTGGGGGCTTGTTGGTCCAGTGGTTAGTGAACCTGACTGCTAATCCAGAGGTCGTGGGTTCGATTCCCACCCAGGAATATAATTGTGTGATGAGCACGGTTATTTTTTCTGTCTGGGTCTGATTTATCTTTAATGCTATAACTAAACAGATATATAAGTATGTTTATCACCAGTCTGTATAGTACAGGCTCTGCCTAGTTTGAGATCAGACAGCCGTGTGTGAGGTATTATTATATTATTATTTTGACAGCTGAAATCTAAGTTCTACATAAATGCTAAATGCTCACCTTGTTCATGGCCCACATCTCGTGAATATTTTCAGCTAACTTGTCTCTGATTTGTTCAACATATGACGGTAATGTTATCTGAAACAATATAAATTTATACATCTAGCAATCGTTTAATTTAGTCTATTGCCTCGACGGTCCATTGCAAATTAATTACGTAACGTACTTAAACAGTAAGTTGGTTCTCTGAAATCGAAAGAAAACTTTTTTTTTAAACTTACTTTGCTATAGGAGGAAGGGACTATTGGTCACGTATGACTAAAAGGGTATTAGCTATACAATAAGTGACTACAAACAATAGAGAAAAAAGTTGACTAACAGATCCATGAGCACTGGGAAAAATATCTTACCTGCAAAGTATCAACAGGCGTGGGTACAAATGCAGTATCATCTTGAACTAATGGTGGACCGGCCAGCGCCCGTTTCGATAAATTCCCAAAATAGAAGCAGGGCTCCAAGCTCAGGATCTGCTGCGGGAGCAGGGACTCCACTAAGGGGGAGTAACCCTCAGGAGCTGCGTAACGGAGACGGCCATGTTCACCACCCAACAGGAAACGACAACTTTGAACAAGGAAACATTTAAAATATATTATCTTCTACTTTTGTATATTTTTATTTTCTTTACAGAAGAAGTTCTAATTGAAATGGTTGTAGATTGATGGTTGGTTTATTCTATTTGCTTGTTATGGTGTTTACTTATGGAAGAAAGGAAATGGGTTAGTTAATTTTCCATACTTTTTACTCCCAAAGTTGTCTGAAAGTCGAGGTTTCAGTAGAAAACACCGATCCTGTTTATTAACAAGATCAGAATCTCGTAATATAGATTTAGCATTTGAGGAACATTAACTAAAACAGAAAATTACATTGTCATCATTACCTTAATTTGCTGGAACAACTGATGACAGGGAAGAACATCCCCTCCAGGTTGAAGTTAGTGAAGGATCCCGTAACCCTCACACCGTTAAACATAAAGTTGATGATTGGCACTGTCAAATCCAACGCACAGCCGATCACATCACCTGTAAAATGAATGGTGATGAAGTTACGGATGATAAAAGGCGATACGAAATAATAACAAGTACATTTGATTAATTACGAAGATCGCGATGCAGAAATAGTGCCCGAAACAATGTGCACATTTTTAAGTCTCACACATATTCTCAAGTTTTTGCATACATATGTTAACGCTAGTATCCCAGAATGGAAAAGCAACGTGATTATTAGATGATTTCATTTTGATTTTTATCAGGACCCAGCGCTCTAATCAATATATAATAATTTGTGTTTAGATCAATATTTAACTACAAAGCTGGTGTACTCTGCAAGCAAATAGACATGATTTAGAATTCAAAAAAGTGAATCCAAGACTGCACGGATGACGTAGTGGTTAAAGCGGTCCTCTCCTGATTCCTACTGTGCTGTGTGTTGTGGGTTCGATTCCCACATGGAACGCTCAGTGTTGTGTGTTCCCACATGGATAAACACTTTGTGTTCTTTGTGTCCTTTTCATGAATGTTTGTAAAGTTCCCCACCGCTCGTTTCGCATCCCGCGACACGATTTATTCTTAGTGCGGGCGTTCTCTGTTTTTTTTTAATAATGAAAAGAAGCTTAGATACCTTTTCTAATGTACGGCTCTTCAGCGTCTGCCCTGTTGACTCGCGTCTTGCGACCCCCTGACCAAAGGAATGCTCCATCGAAACCGAAAGAGTACAGATCGTCTCCGACGCCATTACCACCCCACTTCTCTCCACCACCCGGGTATGGAACGTAGCTGTAATAAAAAAATAATAATTTTAACTTCATCTTTTAAAATAAAGTTAAAGTTAAACGGTTTTAAAATTAAGAAGAAAATAATAAGCTTCTTTCTTTTAAATTTTATTTGTAACCTCAAAGCATATGTTTACAAGGTCAACTTGTGATCCACTTAATGCATTTCAGATGTAAAAGTATTTTCATAATGTTGTCGAAAATGTTTTTGATTGAACTATTTTTGTACTATGTACTTATGGGGTTCTAATAGTGATTTATTCACACTCCAAATACTATTGATTTTGGAATTCAAGCAAATTTGATTATTTCAAACAAGATCTTCAATGTAAGTATACAATTTTCAACCATATTTATTTTGTTTTCAAAGATAAAAGTGTAAGATTTGCTCACCCAGTCGTGTTGGCCCATCCAATTCTTAGATGTGGCATCATATGCGTGGTCTTCTCTATATGGTCCATCGTCACTTCGAAGTACCATTTCCTGTATACTGCAGAACCTTCTACACGACCCACAAAAATGTTTGGGCGAACACTGGAATTATAAAAATACCGTTGAAAAAGCTGAAAAATAATAGCTAGAGCAGTGTGCTGAAATATATTCTATTAATTTCATTTAAATAATCAGTTTTAAGAAATTATGGAAATAGTCAGTAGAACCGGAGAAACAAAATTTGGTATGTTTTCGAGTTTTTTAAGCCCGTGTGGTGATGGATTAAGAACACAGAGTGTCACCACCCCTATTCATGCCGTGGGTGTCGTAGGACTAAGATTCGACTAAGGGAGCAAACTACGCAGGACAACACCACTGCAGAGAGAAGGAAAACTTGACACAAACCCTATACCAACCCGTCTGACCATCGGGGTATAGTATGCCAAAACCTCCTTCCTAAGGATAGGCCTACATCTATTAAAGGCTGTTGATAATGATAATGATGACGTGAGTGACGTCAATGGGTTGTAATGAAAAGCCTTATACGACTCTTCACTAAACAGCCTTATGACCTATTAACATTTCATGAAAGCGGCGTATCGTCATTTTTTACTACAGCCAGACGATTTTTTTTAAAATGATAATAATTTAACTAAATTATTTACTGCTGTTTTCAGAAAAAAATGAGTTCAACAAATTACAACAAAATGAATACCACAAAGTTTCGGATAAAATAGTGAATAGATAAATAATAATAGTAGTTAATGTCGTCTTACCTGGACACATGATCAACCAACTGCGTTTGTAGCAGAAGATTCTTGCCCGGTAGCAAATAATCACAGATGTTATTCTGTGAAGATCTGACAGCCACACCGTTACCCACACAAAGGGAACACAGCACATCCAGCACTTTGGGGTCGCGGCCATGCTTCTCCAGCAGTGATATGATTACTTTTATGTGTTCGTCCTGCAAGGAGAGTATTGATAACATTTGTTATTGAACTTACTATTTGATGTTGCTGGCCAAGTGTGTTACTGTATTTACGAAAGCGCAATAGCGTAATCAGTAGTAAAAATGATTAAACTTCACTTAGCGAGTACTTAAAAACACTGCTAACGCATTATTACCTACTTTTCAATTATTAAATTAAAAAAAAAACATCAATAGGCAAAGACAATGTATGAAAAAGTTCACAAGTTTTTTGTTCATTTTAAGTATGAAATGAAATAAAATATAGTTTCAAGTTTTGTTTTGCAAACACCTAGCAATTTTTAGATATTCTGGATGCGAATAATGGTGGTCTAAGTCAAAATATATTTATTTAATGAATAAATAATATATAATATAATCGTCTCTTATCTAGACTCTAAAGTCATAGATCAACACACACAATACCAACAATCCATTATATACTTGTGCCGATCTACAAAAGTCCGTTTTCAAGGTGTTGAAGCTTATAAGAAGAAAGGGCAACTGAAAAAACATACAGCTAATCCAGTTCATTCGGGTTGGACCTGATTTAGATATTCTGTCAATCTAAGTTGTCTACAATTAGTATTTATGGTAGTTAAAAATTGCTATCCATTACTCACCCGCATCATGTTCAGAGCTTCAGGCGAATCGATCAGCACGCAATGTAATACGTCCAACATGCCGGTTCCCTCGCCCGACGCTTGCGAGCCGAGACGCGAGAACAGCCAGTTGAGGCGGTTCGAATTAGCGAACTGGGCACAGTTTGTGTGGTTGCCTTTGATGATGGCGGCTGTAGAAATACACGATGAATATTGGTTTTTTTTACATAGCGCATAGAGTTTAACACAGCTAATTTTTAACAACAATTTTTTTCTTAAATTCTTGTACTGGTTTTTCCCCGGGATAGGGCTTTACTAGGCGCGGCTTCGATCCGGGGGGACTTGAAATGACATGGTCCGGGTCCTTCGCGGGGCGCCTGAGTCCGGCCGTCGGGTGTTTTTTAGTGGAAACAATACATACTCCTGGCTCCTACATCCCCAAGGAGCCGGAGATCAGAAGGGATTTTCCACCCCGTCAAAAAAAATGTGTGGTGTGGTGTTTTGGTGAGAAATCTTTTAAGTATGTTCGAGCAGTTTTAGCGTTAGCGTAGCGTAATCATAACATTATACCTACATACTCGTATATTATGTAAGTATTACAACTTCATTTATTTATAGAAGTCATTATATCGTAATTGCATGTCGAAATAAAAATTGTAATTCCTTCGAAGGAAAAAAAAAACATCCATAAAATTAGTCATAGAGTCTACTGACGTACATTATTAGTCCCATTTGGTCATATATGTATCTGTGGAACCTTGTAATTTGCATTTCATTATCTAAATTACTGATGTATTTGTACTATAGCGGTAAGTTCCCCAAATAAAAAAAATAAAAAAGTATGAACTGCGATAGAATTCTCAAAAAATATCACATACCAAGCAATTGGTATAAATATCCGGATATCATCTCCCAACTCTGACCCGATTCGTCTCCAGCCAGGAAACCAGCCAGAAATCCTTGCGATGTGATGACGTTGATCTTGTCTATGGCTTCCAGAATGAGGTTCAAGATGCCTTCCTCTTGGAACAGATCTTGGCGATTACGGAGAGCGCGGAACTTGTTTTGTTTTTCTTCATGTTCTGTAATATAATATTTTTTAATTATTTATACCTACACATTAACAATAGAGCTAATAGTAGCGGTTACTCTTGTATAGATCCTACATACAAGAGTGAAGCAATTACTATGTTATCTGAACTGATTTTTACCTAAAGTACACCATGATGTCGTATAGTCATACATGGTATATTTCTGTATTAGTTTTTGTTAATGGTTATTACTCTTTTAGGAAGATGTAAGAAACACATTTTGCCAATGTTCAACAACAGTTCCTCTTTAATATATTACTAATCTGTTGTGTACTGACTTATAGCTGTATTTTCACTGACGCAGAGTGGAGCGGAGAGGAGCTTAGCGGTGCATAAATTGACCAATCAGAATACTTGAAATCTGCGCTTCAATAGAAACTCTACTCTACTCCGCTCTGCTCCAGTACAGTAGAAACACTCATCACTTTTCATTATTCTTCTCCACTCCTCTCCGTTCCACTCCGCTTTAGTGGAAACGCAGCCTATATCCCAAATTTAATAAGTGGGACATAATCATAGTCAGCAAAACGTGGACATCTCGTACGCTTCTACCTTTACTGTAGAGGATACCGACATAAACGTTTGCGTATATTTACCCATATCCTCATCTGGTTGCGCGAAGTAGTTGATGAGATCCTCAAGACACATCACCATTTCATTAAGATTCACCGACGCGAAGAACATCGAGTGACGGCGGTTCTCTTGAAGTGTTTCAAGACCACTGAAAACATATTTCAACATTAAGAAACAAAATCAAAAAGAACAGACTCGTAACTTAGCTTTTAATTGATACTTCTTAGTTCTTAGGCGGGTTTGATAATAATAACAACATTATAATACACCCACACGCGGCACAAATGATCGTGTTCATCACACAATTATTTATCCTGAGAATCGAACCCATGACCTCTGTTTTAGCAGTTAGGATCGTTAACCACTAGATCAACAGGCTCCCCAAATATCTATATAAAATAATGTATTTTTGAATTTTTAATATCTATAAAAAAAAGAAAGTGATATTTACTTAATGAATTTAGTGAAGAGCGAGGAACATTTCCTGATGACCCTGGCGGTGCGAGACTCTTCTTCCTGCGACCTTGAGAAGTCCAACCCGTCGTCCATCTTACCTTCCTCATGCAATATAGCCTGCTTCTCTTCTACCTTGCCTAAGCCTTTCTTCTTAGTTTCGTATGACTGCAAAAGATAAAATAAATAAAAAACCGGCCAAGTGAGACCTTGTAAGCGTTTTATTATTCAGCATTTAGTACCCCATCGTATAGGAACACGTGGCTAAGTATTATTTGAGCAGGTTAAAACATTGCAAAGTTAAGCAATCATAGCCAGGTCAGTGTATGAGTGGGTGACCATTCTTAACACATTGAGACATAAAGTCATCGGTCCCGGTTGCCATAGGAACATCTGTGGCAATTATTACGGGTAGGTGGAGCCCTAATAAGTCCAGGAGTGGCATCTGATGGCAGTCGCTTCGCTTCGACCACAACCTATTTTGGAAATAGGCTCGATGGACGATAAGTACCTTATAAGATAACCAGAGCCCAGTCTCCGAGTGCTGAACGATGACGGTAGAGTCACCATATTTGATGATAGGCGCACCGATCACCTCGAGGTCCTTGTCTTCTAGCACCTGCTTCTGATCATCTTTCTCTTGGCGTAGACAGAAGGCACACGAGGCTGTGGTGGCTTCTTCCCTGGAAATTTGCAAGTTTATGAAGTTTAACTTTACACACGTAAATATTACATTTACAATAAATAATTAAATTAAGTTAATGCAGTAAGAAAGTCGATATAAGTGTATTGATACGAGTACGAGTATAATAAAGCAGCGCGTTAATCTCTGCAACTATCTATTGGATTTCCAAAGTCGTTTCGCCTTTAATAACCGCTTGATTAAAAAAGGCTATGAGCTATTTAAAAACACAATGCCTGTGTTATTGCATTGCAATGCATTAAGTCCGCATTTTAGGTACATTTTGTGTATAAAGTTTTAAAATAAATTAAACATTAATTTTATTAGTAACTAGCTGGTGCCCGCGACTTCGTTCGACTGGAATTTGAAAAGCGCTGCCTTAGTGAGTTCGATTCCCGGACTAGGCAAAATTTTATAGGGTTTTTCTTTACTCCTTATATGGACAGCTACTTGGTAGTAAAATATTATCAAAATGGGTCCAGCCGTTTTAAAGATTACCCAGAAGAAACAGACAGACAGAAAGACAAACAGCCAAAAATTATTTAAACTGGTTTTTAGGCATAGGTATATAGGTAGGTAGGTGCAAATAACCGTGTAAGCATGAAAAAACCTATTATTAACATTACCAACAGACACTTCAATTTTATTTATTTGTGTATATAAAAATGTTACAGATTTATTTTTTCCACGAGTTATATAATAACACAAAAATATAACCAGCATTATCTGTAACTTAAGGAAAGAAAAGAATTATGTGCAACTGACTCATATTTATCCGTTATAGTGTCTGAATGTCTGTTGGAGAAAATTGACAACAATGTTGGCTACCAACCTGCTAACTAAATACAGCTCGTTCTGATCGTTGACCCCCAGATATCGGCCAGTAGTGATGTGCCTAATCCGCATGGGATGGTACCAGTTGATAAAACCTCCTGCCCACTTTGTGCGTGCCAGTTCTAGCCTCCACAGAGATCGGGCTTGAGACATGACGGAACCGCCTTCGTAGACCACGATACTGAAAAAAAAAGAAATGGAAGTTTCTATAAAACTTTTAACATTCTTTATTTAAATATTAAACAAATAACAAATTCGTCTTTTACCCAACTGCGCTAGAAGGAGGTATGTCTTTCGTATGTACCTATGTATATTTATATATATGTATATTTCTTTGGCTTGATGGATTCTGGCTTGGGGATTGTCGCATGTCGGTAGATCGCGATAAAAAATAAACAGACACGTAAATACTTACTTTTGCCCCCCATCCTGAGTCCAAGTACTGGGTATAGTGAGACACTCATCACCCCCGTGGAAGAACCTGAGCACATCACCCCCAAAGACATATCCCACGTACTTCATACGTGATATACCAGTGCCGTAAGGCTGAACCGACCAGTGCGTCACGTGGAACGAAGCATTCACTATTGATACTTCATTTTCTTTCGTTGTATGCTAGAATGGAAAATTGTGATTAGGTTCAATTATATTTTAATTGTGATTATATATATTACAAAATGTAGTGAGATTGCAGTATTAATGTAATATGTATAAGATTTTTGATACCTATATATTGTTATGATGTGTAAAAAAAGGATCACTGAAAGATGGGCAAAGATAAAAATTTGTTGCCGTTTGGTATAATACGACGTACTCAACGACTTTTATGGAAGCCATAGGGTTGCCATATGGTCTGGATCTTGTCGGAATTGTCCTGATATTTATTTTATGCACATACTTCTAACAAAAGTTTTTTAATCAAAACAATAGATTTGTGAAGATGACAAGATGTTGACAATTGATAAGATAAAAAACTATTTATAATCTATTTATTTGTTCCGACAATAACTCCAAAACACCGTTTACCCATCCGGCAAGCGTAGGCAGATATATCTACAAACGATCAATGGAAATTTACCACACTCTTACGCATAAGTTGTACTCACAATAAAGTTCCTATAACGTTGATAAAATATGGGTGTTTATACTACATACCAAATTAACAACACAAAATTCAGTGCCTACAATCGATAATGTTCGAATAATATGATATGATGTGTGTGAAATTTCTTATTTTATTTTAACTACTTACTATTTTCACATATTGATAACAATTGCCTAAACTACAGCCTATATTTATCAACACTACATTTAAACAAATATTGACTACATGAAATCGTGTTCACAAAGTGGATATATTATAACAATAAAATCATTAAAAAAAAACAACTACACAACATTTAAAATGTATTTCTGTGTGGGTTCAACATAAATATGTGTTATTAACATTTAAAATAACATTATGTGTCTAAATGAGAACATAATTTGTGTATATCGAATACAAAAACAACTGAAGTGTGTATATAACAGACACAAAAATAACAATTAAAGTACCAATGATATGTAACATAATATTTAAAGCCACAATGACTTGAGATGTGATGTAACATTTAGAACATTTATTTATTGTAACCATTGTAACCTCACCGATAAGATAAACCTTAATCCTTTTTTGTGGCGTGAAGAGCAACCTGACTGCGACAGTAATACCTTGCCCTGGGGTTAAATATATTAGTATTCGTTATGATCTGAACTTATAATGTCGTCCGAATTATAATTTTATTTTAGGGAAACTAATAAACACTCTCGAGTGTTATTCATATGTATATAATGAATATACGCTTATACTCGGGTGTGTATTTCGGATATTCACATTTAGTTTAAAATCCCACAGGAATTTTGTATTCTTTGATAAAAGTTTTTTGTCAGTGCCGAAACTAATGGAAACCGAACTTAACCGTCTCCGTATGCGTTTCTGATGCAACACTAATACGACACTTCTTTATAGAGTTAAAGAACTGGCTCCGGCACTTGTCGAGCATATCCGACAGATACACAAATGAGTAAATGTATATATACGAGTATAGTATATAAATACTAAGTATATCTAAAACTCTGCGTATTCAAGTATTTTGTGTTGCGCGCTTACAGCAGACCGTCTGACACTGCCGCGAACTGTATTTTCTTTCCATGGATACAAGGCGTTTGTCTGGCTCGAAAGTAATCAGATTTCTCCGAACCACACACAAATACAATCATACATCTCGAATAACTAGGCCTTCATTTGAGAATTCAATATTACTCGGTCATTGTCATGTAAATGCCCAACATGTCTGACTTATGATGTCAGTTGGTGCACCATAATGGTTTGTCTTTTAAATAAAACTTAACAAGCGTTCTAAACTTGAAGTTTGATTACTTGCTATTTTTTACTCTTCAAAGTCTCAACATCTTGATCAATTATCGTGTAATGCATAAAAGTCAAGGATCCATAAAAACTATCTAGAAAGGTTTTCTTTAATCCAGATAAAAGTACTGTTCTCGAATAAACTTGAACAGTAATAATCAATAAACAAAGTCTAAGTCTAAATAATAATTATATTTGTCTATAATATTTGTTTTTTGACTGCTTACCAAATATCTCTCAGTGGCGACGGAGACCAGAATCAAGTCGTCACCAACTCGAACCTTCTCACCCTCAGACCTGTAAATAAAAAACAATTATTCGTATACATGCACAAAGCAAACTTTTAGTTTAGTCGAAAGGGTTAACCAGCACACTACATAGTGGCGTGGAAATCATTTTATTTGTGTTCTTTTTTTAATTAGAGAAAACCGATAATCGGGTTATACGGACTAATGGTTTCACGTCCAATAATCCTTACCAATCATAATTTTCGTGCCCATTTACGTAGTCTATCCATCTTTTCTTCCATTAATACATAAACGTTCTTCACTACATTTTGTCTGTTGCTCCTCAACTTTCCACCCACACTACTTTCAGGCTTTATTTAATGTATGTGTTGTTTTTTACCTTGTACGTCCTAGTCATACCATACATCCATCTTAATATTTGCATTTCAGCTACGTGCAAATTAATTCTAATTAATATGTATTATAAATGCGAAAGTGAGAGTAACAAATTTCTATCCCCAAGAGATACCTACTTGACTGATTGATCGTAAAGTTTTTTTATTTTTAACAAAAAGCTCCTCAAAAATATTATTCTTTAAGTGAAAACTTCTTTAGCCACGTTGAGCGATTTTTAGTAAATGTAAAACTTATGGGTTTGCGTCATCGATGACCTTGACATGCTCGTGACGTTTTGCGACGCGTAGTTCTATTGTTTTGAGTTTTCATTTATGTCGGCAGTCCTGATGACTGCCTCTGTTTTTTTTATAGTATAGAAGGGTAAACAAACAGACGGGTCACCAGACGGTAAATGATGCCCATGGACATCTACAACTGCAAAGTCACAAGTGCGTGCCCGCCCTTTGCGTACCCCCTTAAGAATAAAGGGAGAGTGGGGTTGGGCTTCACTAGCCTCATTCACTCGACGAAAAGCAATTTACGAATATCTTACGATACACTGGTTTTCTGTAATCCGTGGTATCACTCTGGTTAAGCCCATACGAGTATTATTAAGCACACAGTTGAAAGGTTTATATCGGAAAAATATTAAATTTTGTATCTCCAAACGAATCAAATTCATATTAAGCAAAAGACTACTCCAATTGGAATAAACCCTTCTAAATTACAATGAAGTAATGATAAAAAATATGGAAGGACACTTTTAGATGATAAATTCAAAAAGATTACAAAAAAGGATTGATAATTACCTTTGCTTGCTAGCTGGATGCAGGGTCCACCAACAAGCTTCTCCCTGTGAATGTTCTTGCAAACCGACGTCAAACGCTAGCTTGTCTTGAGACGAAGATGTGGATAGACATGCGAGGTACTGTAAGCAACACACAATATATATTATATGCAATACATTTAATTTTGGCTACTTAGCCAAAATTTTTGCAGATATTTTAGTTATTTGACAGATTTAGTTTATAATCGTATATAATATATGTTCCAATTCCTGCCTACTTATAATCAGATAAGAAAAAGAAAATAATGTACTTATTACTAAAAAAAAAACAAACAAACAGTAGTTGCATAACATGATGTTTAACATTTGACATTTCACCCATTATATGACGCCAACCTTGGCTCTGTGCATGCTCATTAGTCAAGTCAAGTACCGCGCGCTTCAACAGTTTCATGTTCACTTCGGTCTCTCTTCACGAACCACCCTCACAGATGAAAGGATAGATATTTTATATTAAAAAAGATAAGATAATAAATTCTTTCTTACCATATCACTGTTGAGATGCCGCAGGAGAATAGCGTTACCGTACAAGAGCGTGCGGTGACCAGAACCGGTTCCTTTACCCTGCAATAAAGTACATTAAACCAGTGTAATTTAACTGAAATTTTCTTACTATTGTAAATTGGACTACAAAAAAGTATGTTAAAAGAGGTAATACTGAAACTTTTAATAAAGAGAATCGAAAAAAAGTTCATTTTACATAAAAAAATACGGCTTGTTTCATTAAAAAGGTGTTTAAAAAATAAACAGCTAAAGTTCCATAAAAAAAGTTTATATATAAAACAATTACGATGTTAATAGGAGAAGAAAAAAGTTCGTGAAGTACTAATACGTTAAGTAAATCCATGCTTGGTATTAAGTGATAAAATACTCTGTATTTCCTAAAACAAAAAAGATTCTTTTTTATAAAGATTAACTTCAGTGTTTTAAGTTAAGTGTCACCTAATTCAATGCGATTAAATAACGATAGCATGTAATAATCTTCCCACGTTCCTTTCTTTTCCACCCTTAGAGGAACATTTCCTCTAAATTTAATTGGGAACAACCTTAACGACGGTCTATTTAATTTAAAAAAAAATTCAAACGGTTTCCAACTGTCAACTGACATTTTTTTTAAAATGAAAGAACTATAAATTCAATAGAATGGATTTTCTCTTATAATATATTGAAAACTTAAAAGTTTTCTATCATTTACGTTTTTGTCTGTTCAATACATTACACACAATTGCAAAAGTTCTTAAAACGTTATTTTGCGACTTGTGTGTCATTTAGTCTAACTGTATCACGGTCGCGCTGTATTTTATACGTATTATAATAGCATTAAAACTTGAATAAGCAATGATTCAATGCCAATATTTTTTTATTAAAATTTGCTAATAAAAAATCCACTGAGATGGAATTAATTTGAATCTTTAAATTAGTAACGATTTATTAGCGATCGTAATGAATTTCGAAAGTTAAACAGAGTTATTGAAGAATGTTAATAAAAAATTCAAATAAAAATTGTAGTTCAACATTTTATTATATCGTCAATTAGCCAAAAATGTCAACGACAGCATGCATTTTTTACCAATAGGCGGATATACTCACTAAGTTTTCTTTTCCCTGGAAAATATAAATCACGATCGCAGTACGTAAAACGAAATTATTCACAATAGGATAAATATAATATATTTGTTAACACAATAATAAAAATAATAACGGTGTGTAGGTACAAAAAAAAATCATACAAAAGATTTGCCTTTTGAAATCTTTACAGGACATTAGAAATTCGTTTCACCATTTCCTTTAGCAAGAATTTTATTTAAAGAAAGAATGTTTTATTTTTTAAATTTATATTTGAAATTAGAACACAAGTTGCACAAAAAGATAGTGAAACCAACTCTTTATTAGAACATATTTAAGGTGTAGTTTAGTGAAAATAATAATTGAAAATTATTCAAAGGGTGGCATTATTATACTCTAGTAAGGTTTCAAATGTTAATTTTACATGTACATATAATTACGTGTATATCTGATTTACATATAAACGTATAGAGTTGATTATACTTACAGTTTCAGAACCAGCAGCTGTTACTAGCTCCTGCAAGGCTCTTACTGACAACGCCTGCAAACATAACGTGTTTATTGAAATAGTCAAAGTGTATTAACGTTTTAAAATGAAAAAGAAGGATCACTTGGCCTGAATTTGGATCGTTTTTTTTTTAACATAAAAATGTATTGGTTTAAACAAAAAAAATCTTCCTGTAAATATATACTAGTAGATAATACATTACTATTTAGGGAATTTAATACACCGTGTTATCTAGACTCAAACTAATCAATACTTGTGCTATGGATTCTAGTACACAAATTTTGCCTATAGCAATGTTTTTGCAATGAGCGAGAATCGAATCTGCATCCACAACGTAGCAGTTGAATTCACTGTCCCAACATAGATTGTTATAATTTTTTTTTTTATGACACGAATAAATATCCATACTTTTGATTGCAAAAGTATAAAAAACGATGTTCCATTAAATGTATTTTATGATCTTTGTAACCCAAAGTTTATTTATACAATTAAAAATCGATATAAAACTCACCTGTTCAATGACGAATACGCATTGCGACAAGTCGGGTGGTATGTTCTTATCGGCAATGTTCTCTAGGAAGCAGTGTCGGTTACCAAAGCCCTCGGCTGCCAAACACACGCGCTCTCCGGTGGCTGTGCAAGACAAGCACACCATGTCTTCCTGTAAACAAAACAACTTACATTTTAAGAAGTGCTACGAACATTATTTTTGTTTTACTACTTTCACATTGTTTTCAACATTATTCAAGTATTCACCCAATTCAGAGATCCAAGGTTAAGGTAATTTGTTGATTTGGGCGAAGGCATCGAGGTCACGTGAATATTGCATTCGGGGCTGTAGAATTATAAATTAATTTACTTCGTTATACTTTGAATTTATTACAGGGAAATTTTGAGGTTGTTGTTCATGAATGAATGGATGGATGAAAATTTTAAGTGTTGAAATGTGTGATGAAAGTTTTACATTTTTAAACTGATACTTTGAATATTTAAGGAGGCGTTCAGAAATTTTGCCGTCTTTCTTTTACTTCTTGACTGTTTAGCATAAGAAGTATTAGCATAAGCAGTAAGCATAGTAAAGGCGCTGACTAACCGTTTAAGGCTGTTAGTAGAGTGACGTAGTCGTAATATGTAAATAATAATTAATGTTACAGGTGGAGTGAACTTATTCTATTCGCGGAAAAATACCTGCCTAGTTTCTTTGAAATAGACTTTGCTAATTCTGGCCCGACTTTTGCTGAGGGGAAAATAGTCAATTCTTCGGGTAGTTTTGTTTTTCTAATTTACAGACAGATGCATTGGAGATATATGGGGAAGAGATGGGTTTTCTGTTTATTTTATTATTGGGCGAGATGGACATAGCCGTGTTTAAATCAAGTTCTGTGCTATATACTTTTTTTTATGGTATTTTATAGGGGATTTGGGCTCCGGTAACCTCACTCACACAGTGAAAGGCAGCGAAGAAATTGCTTAACACCGGTTTTCTGTGAGGCCGTGGTATCACTCCGGTCGAGCCGGCCCATTCGTGCCCAAACATGGCTCTCCCACGGCAGACGGTTTACAGTTACGGTATAAACTGTAATATCGATAGTCAACGTCCGAGAGTAGCAGGTCTATGAAGCGGGAAGGATGAACACTTCTGATTAATAAAAGATTCTAAAATATTCGTACAGGTGAGACGATTTGTATTTACATTTACAAACATACATTTGCCAAATGTATGTTTGTAAATGTAAATACAAATCGTGTAAATGTTCTGTTTGTAAAATGTAAAACGTTTACTTCAAAATGAAGTAAATGTTACTAGTGAAGTAAACGCGACATATTCCTACTGAAATTAACTGAGGCATTAGTCACAGCCGACAACGCTATTACGGCCTTAGTGCCTGTTTTCGAGACGAGTTAGCACTTTTATGTTAAGTTACGGCACCTTGCCTCGTTTGTTGCTTTCAGTTGCGCCTCTGAGCAATCGTTTTGCTGTACGATATTACCATTCAACAGTTTAATTTTCACTCCTTAACAGTATTTTTTAGTATTGTTCGATTCTGTTGAGAATTTTACTTCATTGTACTTTTTTTTAATGGCTGGCAGGAGCTGGATGCGAGAAGCCCAAAATCGGTCTAAGTGGCGTGCAAGGGGAGAGGCCTATGTCCAGCAGTGCACTGCTATAGGCCGATGATGATGATGTACTTTTTTTTTAACTCTTGAAAGCAGTAATAGTGTGAAGAACTTAAGTGCTATATACAAAATGTTGTTTTTGAATGGGAGTCTTATAACAATGTTTTTACTTCAAATCGTTGATTGCTGCTTGCAAGAAAAGTTTTGAACGATACATAATACGCGAGGTATTAAAAATATTTGTAAATCAATTGCAAACGATCTTCTTGGAAGCCCTTGAGGCCTACGTTCAGCAGTGGACAGCCCAAGATTGGAATGATGATGACGATATATAAGTTTAATTAGTAGTTAATTACGGCAGTATCTACTACTGATATATTATTTCACTTAACCCCTTAACCAAAATGTTATCGTTTCATATTCGACGACATTATGTATCGTAGACTTAAATTTTTAAATCGATAATAAATGAGTTTCTAGTATTTCATAATCGTAGTGAGCGTGGCGTTCCCACAGTAAGAAGTTTTTCTTTCGTTGTTTTACATCAAGCAAATATAATCTCCAAACTTCTCTTTATTGTTGTAGGAAACAAACAAAGTCTAACCTAACTCGTATTTATCATTAAAATAAATGGAATCGTTAGCATTCGCCCTAATTCTGACAATGGCCGTCCGACACTAGTGCCACTCACCGCTTCCATTTGCAAAAACGATTTTCGACGATTCTACGCACTCGATTCTAGGGTTGTCACGCTTTCCACAAATTTCTACTCATTTAATCTCACCCCGATTTTCTTTCTTGTCTTGTCTCGCCTGAAATCGTTTACATTCTCAAGAGGTATTGGTGTCAGATTGGCCACAAACGAAAACTGCAAAAACCCTTTTGCTATGTTAGACACTACGCGCACTAACATATAATGATGGGACCGAACAGGGTAGGAAGATGATGGTATTAAACTCAGATGGTACGTGGTGCTATTATTTTATTTAAAAATAGTCACCTCAAACTAACTAACTAACTTCAAAATAGTCACTTTTCTGTTCAAAAGTTTAAAAACAAAAAAATATACATTTTCATTGCGTACTTCTTTGTTCATATTTAATGTACGCGTTAAGGTTCTAATATTTTTACTTTCAAAAACTCTCGATAATGGCTTTGTAAAAGAATAAAAATACATTTATTGCCAAATTACTAGAAACAATATTGTGTGGTGCCCCACACCAGGTAAGCCTGTTCTGTGGGTGCGAGTAACGGCTTATGACAAATTTCATATGACAAAAAATTGTAATTGTCGTATCTGGCTGTAATTTATCTTTCGATCCTTATCTTTACATATCTTGCAAGGGTTATAGAGAATGACATAATACATCTTTCATTTTAAAAAGTACTGTTGCCAATGAATAATAAAAATTGGTACTTTTGTCCTTAAGACCGTAACTAATTCAATCGTTGGTACGGATACGCGTCTTTTAGTTAAAAAACTTTACTAAAGAAGACGTTATCGTTAATCCTATAGTACAAGTTCTACGAGTTCGTAAGTTCTTTGTAGTTTTTTATTTGCAAAATTTATAAAGATAAATCTTGCTATACATGATTTTATTGTGCAATGTTTTTGGCACGTATTGTTTCTCCACATGTTGATGTCGTATACTGTATACTATACGGATTGTTCAACGCATCAAGTTGTAAAACCAAATTAATATCACAATGAATTTAAAAAGTATATTTAATTTATTCCTTTGAAAATTATGGCACTAACACAGGTAGATAGGATGTGTAGTGATGTTTACTTAACTCTCAAGTATTACTTATTGCCAAACTTCAAGAATCAATAACCTTAAATATATAGGTTTTGATTTGACTTGATTTGGAAAATAGAATATAACGCTTACATGTCTGTATTTCTTAGTTGTGTTGACTTTGAATCTAGTTTTTATAGAATTTGTTATTAACTTCACCTTGATATTTATTCGTACCTAAAAAAAGACTCTTGACAGATAGACAGAAAAACAGATAGCCGGGTAAACATGCGATCCCTCAACCAATATTAATCAATAATTAAATTATGTAATTACTTAGCAGGTCGGTCATTTCGTTGATTCGGGTTTATCATACTAGTACGGGACGGGGGATAATATTGCCAATTTATTATATACCTAACAACCTAATAGCCTTTTACGATATGGGTTCATAGGGGACTTATTGTCTTGGGAATTACCTACTAGCTCGATTATTGAGTCTTGAGTCTGATTCTTTAGTCTTTTTAAGGTAGGTTCACTGTTCAATTATTTCTAGAGTACCTATAGATGATTATGGTAATATTAATATTAATTGGCGTGGTGCTATCTTACTCTGCTAGGTAGTAGAGACCTAAGACCATTTCAGTAGGGTTGTTAATATATTAGAGTTGGCTCAATGGTACTTGAAAGTAATAAATCACCAGAGAAGTAGGTAAGCAGTGAGAGGTGTCTTTTTATTTGATACACTGGCAATTCCCTTTCTATGTTTCTAACCATTAAGGAGATTTCTGTCGATAAATAATGTCAAATGTCATGTGAATAGACAAATGGCTTTCCGTTGAGAAATCTTAGTGCAGTACCTAAGTTCTTATTCATTTTTTTAGTTTTTTAATGGGCCTAATTCCACCCACAAGCCCACTAATATAACTCTTATATACCGAAATCAACAGCAGTGACCTTCGAACACAACGAGTTATGACACTCAGAAAGTCTCAGGAAAAGTTAAACTGTCTTGGAACCCGCAACGAAATTAATCAGATGTAAGTTGGAGGAGTTGGAATATAATAAATCCACTTCTCTCCTTAGCAAAGCGGAAGACAAAACTGAATTAAAATAAGCCTATACCTCATTAAACAGTTGGTAATTTGCCAATATAATAGTTTCGTGCGAAGCAGGCTTGAATATTGTAGTGTTGTATGGAACCCGACATACCAGGTGCACACTACAAGAATTGAAAAGATACAAGAAAGACTTGTATATCACTTGGCCTTCAGAAATAAAGTTTTGAACTCAATAAGGTCATATTCTGGCAGACTTAGCTACTTCAGGCTCGCATCCCTTGAAGCCCGCCGCAAGGTTTCTGACATAATGTTCATATACAAGTTATTCAATAATGGGATTGACTGTCCGAGTCTCCTGAGCAAATTCTATATTAATGTACCTAGCAGGTTACCTCGCTATCCGGGTTCACTGCTCAAAGCTCCCCGCTGTCGCACAAATCTTGGTAAACACTCTCCAATAATTAGAATGACTAACCACTTTAATGAAGTTTCAAATAGATCTAATAATATAGACATCTTCAGTAATACTATAGGACTTTTTAAATTCCTTATCAATAAACAGCTGACATCAATTTAATATAAATTTATTTGATTTAAATTATATATTATCAATGTAACTGTATATAATCTTATATTGTTGACTATTTAATTATTAACCATATTATCAGTAGTTAACTTTTGCAATGTTATTATTGTTTGTACTGACTTAATGAATTTAACAGTAATTTAATTTAATCAATTTT